AGTACCGTGTCCATAAACTTTTCAAACGTCACAGGGGCGTTGCACAAACCAAACGGCATGACATTGAATTCAAACAAGCCATCTGGCGCGACAAAAACGGTTTTCTCTTTGTCGGCGGGATGCATAGGTACCTGCCAATAGCCCGATCGGAGGTCCACAGATGAGGAGTAAGATGCCGAATGAAGACAGTCGATAACGTCGTCTATGCGGGGAAGCGGATACACGTCCTTTTTTCGACACCGAATTTAGACGCCGGTATTCGACGCAAAACCTCCAGGACCCGTTTTTTTTTCTTCACGAGGATGACCGGTGCAGGCCAGGGGCTATAAGTGTCTTGGATGACGCCCACAGCCAACATGTCTTCTATCTGTTCGGCGATCACCTTGCGCTCCGATGCAGACACATGGTATGATTTCTCCCATATGGGATGCGCGGACACCGTGTCAATCCTGTGGCGAGCACACGTATTGGGAACACGAACTTTGGTAGCGTACTGGGTGAAGTGAAACAATGAAGCGTGCCTGCTAAGGACGCTGACTAGGGCTTGACGCTTCGCTTCTTGACGCTTCTGATCATGTTCGAAAACGGCGAAGAGTCTTCAGGGACACCAGAGCTAGTCTCATGAGCCCGGGATTCATTCGAGGCGTGATTGCTTAAGGCGTCGATATTAAGGCTCGTATCTGCTTCAAACGGGGCAAGTCGCATACCGCTTGGAAGCACAACAGACTGGTTAGACAAATTTGATACTCACAATGCACTTGTGCCGCAGGCCACAGACAATACAGCGTGGCACGAGCACAGCCTTCTTTGCGACGATTGATGGCATCGGCTCAACAGGAGCGTCGAATACATCGTTGTCGGCACTAGCAACAGTAACCCGAACGCTGGATAACGAACGGGACAGTACGACGGAATCTTCCCAGACGGCGAGGGTGTGCGAACAAGTAGCAGGTTAGTCGGCAACAAAAGGAGAGACAAAAAGCTCGCCCGTACCGCAATCAAGAGTGGCACCGCACTGTTGCAGGAAATCTAGACCCAGAATCACATTATGCGTTAGTTTAGTGAGCACTGTGAATTCGGCTTGATTGACGTTATTAGAAAAATAGACGTTTGTGGTACACACACCAAGATGTCGTAGCAATTCTCCACTCACAGCACGAAATGTGCTCCCATTATCCCACTTGAACATCACTTATGGCCAATTTAGGTTTTGAAATACATGCTGGTAACGGAGACACTTGCTCCCGTGTCCACTAAAGCTGTCGTTGTAACATTGTCCACAGAAACACAAATCTTGTTATGACGCATAGTCACTGGTGGAGGCGTAGCGGCGTGTAGCTGAAGAAGACTGACGACCTCACCTCCATCGCTCGCGCCGCCTAGTTTCCCGGCGGCGGTGTAGTGGGTTATCGTCGAGGATATGGGGATCTTCGCTAGCGTGAAGGTGGTGGCATCTAGCTCCGCACAGACGCCGGTGAGTCACTGCGGTGATTTCCCCGATGGTTTGGCCTGCTGTCAGAGTATGAGGGTCAGGGTGTCTCCTCAACGTGCTGATTGCTGCTCCCGTAGAAAGTGCGCGGTCGCCCATTGGACGGTGCTGCCGTGAGACGGCGTTGGTGCAGAATCGGGTGACATGAACGCGGATGCCATAGTGAAAGCATATGGGGCGTTCGTGAGGTGCGCTGATGTCAGTAGAAGGATGAATGGCTCAGCCGTTTCATGCCTGATAACCGGTAGGTGGTCTGCGTGCGTATTCGTCATCCAATAGGTAGTACGGACGCATAGTTTGGCTTGGCCCTCGAGGACGGGGCGTATAGTTGTAGGCATTAAAGAAGGCGGCGTTGATAGTCGTCGCACTTAAGTCGCAGGGAGGAAAGGGTTCTCGGACATTAGGTGCTGGCCGAGAAGCCGCCTGGCGTAGGTCGAGCTTTTCGCGCACTACCTGGCGAATCATCGACGCGAGATCCGATGGGGTTGGATGCACGTCGACACTGGCGACATTAGTGACGTTGGGCAGGCGGCCGAACTTTGGTGTAATTCGCCGTGCTTTCAGCGCTTCAAACATCTGGCAGTGCTTGATAAGGTCACTTACGCGCTCTAAACTTTCTCTTGCGGTGAGGAACTGGTAAGCGTCTTCCGCGATCTATTTTAGACAATGACCAACCTTGTCCTGTTCTGTCATCCAGGGGTTCAGTGCTCTGCACAGCTTTAGCACCTCCTCGATATGCGTCGAGCAGGTTGCATAAGAGTTTGCTCGCCACGCTTCTTCTTCGCTGCCGGATCCTGAAAGCACAACTTGATTTCATCGACGAACTTCCACCACGTCGTCAGGCTTTCTTCATGGTTTTCAAACCATTCAGACGCGGTTCCTTTGAGAAAGAGTCCCAGATTATTCAGCTGGCCGGTGGCATCCCAGCCATTAAACCGACTCGCCCGTTGGTAGGAGCTGAGCCATGAGTCGACATCTTCTGCAGCTTGTCCAGCGAAGGATGGAGGTTGGATGTAGGGCTGCCACGAAACGCGGGAAGCAGGTAGCTTGTTGTCATCGTTGTCGTGAGATGCCATCGCAGGTGGCAGACCAGCAAATCGTAGGCTTCGGTGAAGCTCCGCGTATTGCACCTCAGCGGTCGATTAGTCACCGTTCGTCGGGGGCACCGTGATCGTACCCAGCACCTCTTACCAAAACTGTTATGATGGGGGCGTGTTTATTGAAGAACGAATGGCGAAAGGTAGCCGCGCCGACACCAAGCTGCTTCCAAACAGACAACTCCGTTTTTCTCTTCCTCTCCTCACACGTTGCCACTTCAGCGTAACACTATTAATTCCTGTACTTTTCCTCTCACCACTAGCTCATTACCTTCTTGGGTATTAGTATTAGCTTTGCTTTTTAAATCTAGGTGAATATGAGCTCAGCTCTTACCATTCTATGGTCACTGCATCGCATCTTGGTAACTATTTCTACATCGTGTACAATACCTGGATGTGCACGCAGAATGAAGTATATTTCATTTTCACTTTCGCCGTTGTTACTTCCCCACATTCAATTATGGTTAGCTCGTTTTCTGAAGAAGGCATTCAAGATCCGCAAAGTATTACGTTTGGCGAACTCTACTAATAACTTTCATCTGGCATTTCTATAGCAGATGTTATATTCTCCCACTGCAAGCATGGTCTCCGGCCTGCTTATACTTTTGCATTAAAGTCACCCACCAGGATAGTGTACTGTGTCTTTAATAATGACTGACTGTACGTCTTCATAGAAGCGTTCAACCAAAGAATCATCATGACTCGATGGCCCCGCCGCGGTGTTCTAGTGACTAAGGTACTCGGCTGCTGACCCGCAAGTCGTGGGATCAAGTCCTGGCTTCAGCAGCTGCGTTTTCGATGGAGATGAAAATGCTGTAGACCCGTGTGGTCAGATAAGGGTGCACGGGAAAGAACCCCAGGTGGTCGAAACCTTCAGAGCCCTCCACTACGGTGTTTTTCATAATAATATTGTGGTTTTGGGGCGTAAAACCCTACATATCAATCAATCATCATGACTCGATGTAGTCACGTAGGCCTGTATCACCTTCGTCTTGTACTTTGTGTTAAGTTTAATTATTATGATTGCCCCGCCGCGGTGGTCTAGCGGCTAAGGTACTCGGCTGCTGACCCGCAGGTCGCGGGTTCGATTCCCGGCTGCGGCGGCTGCATTTCCGATGGAGGCGGAAATGTTGTAGGCCCGTGTACTCAGATTTGGGTGCACGTTAAAGAACCCCAGGTGGTCAAAATTTCCGGAGCCCTCCACTACGGCGTCTCTCATAATCATATGGTGGTTTTGGGACGTTAAACCCCACAAATCAATCAATCAATCAATCAATCAATTATTATGATTGGAACCCTCCCACTGATGCTATAGTATTCCTCTATGAAGCCAGCAATATTTTTATGTATAAAAAACCCCACTCCTAGTTATTTTTTATCAACACATCCAGGGCGAATGTACTGACCCCTTCTTTACCAGCTGCTACTGCCTCCACAGAACACAAGCGTGAGTAAATTTTAGTCAGTTTTACTGATCGTAAGCACTCATGCAGTCAGTGTCATCATAAATCGCAATCTAAAATTAGGAATTGGTACGCTCAAAATGAGGAATTGGTGCGCTCAAGTGAAAACAAAAATTACATATGAACGAAACAAGACGCTTTGCTTGTTTGTTGTTTTTTTCTCGTGTACAGGGCATTTTTCACACTGTTCATCATTTCATACAACGGGAACTGCAAAATTTATCAATGAGTAATTATGAACGACATTTGCCAATAAAGGTGACCTCGTTTCATCTACTACCTACAAGCCTAGGAGCACTCGCAAATATTGTGTGGTATAACTTTTACTCTGGTCCTGAGGATTAGTCCCAGACTGATTCCGTGTCTCATAATAATATGGTGGTTTGGGGACGTTACGCCCCACACATAAATGAATCAATGAGACTGATGCTGGATTCTTCCAGGTCGGCAGAGATAGGCCAAGTCCCTCTGCCACCATTTTGCCGATCTAGTGCATGGTCTCGATAAATTTGCGTGGTGATCCCTGTGACACAAGCTGAAAAGAAATCTTTAAGTGTAATCCAGCGAAGCGAAGTAAAGGGAAAAGATTAAAGAAAATCGTTGTGGAAGTGTCGATACAATAAGTGCAATATCACACAACTACTACCCTTGGGCATTGAAACGCAGGCACACTGACTGTTGAAGCAGATATTGTCATATTGCCCGAATACTTTAGAATCTGCCATCGAAAGAAACGATTAGATATAATACATAGCTATAGCTGACTGCCGAGACGTGTAATATCGCATTTCTTTACTCTAATAGGCCCACCTTTGATTTAAAGGCGTTGTGAAGCCTTGTTCTCCTGGTACTAAATGAGATCAAATGGAAGTCGGTGTCTAAATGCAAAGACAGCGGATATCTGTTCTAACTAGTTACACTTCGCTTCCTAATGTGCCCACCTTCTTACAGCAGACCGAAAGGGACACCTCACCTCTTCCGTCAACATCTGCAGTGACCCCAAGGACATCACAGGAGGAAGCAGTGGCACCTATAATGGTACAGCTGGTAAGGTCTACCGTAGAAAAAGGACTTCTCTCTCTCTCTCTCTCTCTCTCTCTCTCTCTCTCTATATATATATATATATATATATATATATATATATATATATATATATATATATATATATTCTCACGTCTTGTGCCGATGTGTCCTAAAACTGCAGTGTTGTTTACGCCTTCCCAAACATTCCAAAGTCGCAAGAGCCTCGCGTTGCCGTTTGCTGTCCTAGATATTTCGGCGGACGCTACCAATTTATTTGTCACAAATCCCTTGCCGTCTCCCACAACCTTGCTTCGCGGAGAATGTATTGGAACATTCCAAGACTTAGACGTTTCTTTCATCTTCGGCCTTGACGGTGAAAGGGATTTGCAGCTTACTGCACTAACGCTATCTATACCCGTTCACCTTTTCACGAAAACATTCATTTGTTTGGCCCTTGAATTGATGGCGAACTTGAAGAACCACACCGCGAGAAGCTTCTAGAGCTTCTTCGCCAGTTTTACGGCTCGTTCGATTGCCAGCAGAGGTACTTAGGCCGAACGCACATTGTTGCCCATCACATTAACACCGGCTCTTAAGCATCTCTGTGACAGCGTCCCTACCGTGTATCTCCTGTCGAGCGTCGTGTGATCACCGAGCAAGTGGCCGACATGCTTCAACGTGGCGTCATTCGGCCGTCCAGCAGTCCCTGGTCTTCACCTGTGGTACTTGTGAGGAAAAAAGACGGCTCCGTTCGCTCCTGCGTCGATTGCCGCCGTTTAAACAAAGTTACGCTTAAAGATACCCTTTGCCGCGCATCGATGATGCCCTGGACTGCTTGCAAGGCGCTGAATTATTCTCATCACTAGACCCACGGTCCAGTTATTGGCAGGTCCCTATGACACCATCAGATCGCCCAAAAACTGCTTTTGTGACGCCCGATGGGCTACACGAATTTCTTGTAATGCCGTTCGGCTTTTGTAATGCGCCAGCAACATTCAAAAGGATGATGGATAGCGTCTTGCATGCATGGGCTAAAATTGAAGACACGCCTATGTTACTTGGATGATGTCGTTGTTTTCTCCCCTGATTTCAACAGCCACCTCCATCGTCTCAATGAAGTCTTGAGCTGCCTCACGAGCGCAGGCCTTCAACTAAACATCAAGAAGTGCCACTTTGGAGCTCGGAAGCTCACAATACCTGGCCACGTTGTCTCAAAATATGGGGTCCTCCCAGACCCAGAGAAGCTTCGTGCTGTCGCTCAGTTCCCGAAGCCTACGACCGGGAGAGCTCTTCGCAGCTTCGTCGGACTGTGCTCATGCTTTCGCCGCTTTGTGAAGAACTTTGCTACGATAATCGCGCCACTGACACAGCTGATCACTGGCGATGGACACCTCTCTGATTGGTCGCCAGCATGCGATGATGATTTCGCAACATTACGCTATCTCCTTACTTCACCACCTATTTTACGCCCCTTCGACCCTACTGCTTTAACCGAGGTGCACACGGATGCTAGTGGCGTAGGACTTTGTGTTGTCCTTGCTCAACGCAAGCCTAGCTTCTCGGAGTATGTAGTTGCGTATGCCAGTCGCGCCCTCACCAAAGCAGAGCACAAACACTCGGTTTCCAAAAAGGAATGCTTGGCCATTGTTTGGGCATTACAAAAGTTTCGTCCGTACTTATACGGACGCCCATTTGATGTTGTTACAGATCATCGTTCACTCTGTTGGCTCGCTTCATTGAAGGATCCTTCGAGCCCGCTTGGACGTTGGGCGCTACGTTTACAGGGATTTGATATTCACGTCGCTTACCACTCAGGCCACAAGCTTACCGACGCAGACGCTCTTTGTCGTTCGCCCCTTCCTTCAGCCGTTGCACCTGTTTCCTTTGCCGAAGCTACCATCGACAGCATCCATACCGCTGACATGCCTTCGTAACAACGCAAGGGCCCTTCTATAGCCTCGCTTCTCTCCTCGTCTTCGGTGACACAACGCCAGCGTCTGCTTCGTGCACTGCGTCGGCAAATTCCCACTTATGCGATACGGGATGCCATGTTGTACCGTCGCAACTATCAGCCGGATGGTAGGAAATGGCTTCTTGTTCTAACTCGCCATTTGTGCTCCAACATGTGCGCGTACATCCCGCAGACCCTCAAAACTCCTACGCTGGCGTTTTGAAAACATACGACCGGCTTCACCAGCGATTTTTTTGGCGTGGAATGTACCCATACGTTCGCAAGTACATACGTTCCTGCGCTGAGTGTCAGTGGCGGAAAACAACTTGTCATGCCTCTGGCGAATTAAAACCATTGCCGTCTCTAGCTCGGCCATTTGATAGAATCAGCATCGACCTCTACGGCCCACTACCTTGTACTCCTGCTGGGAACCGCTGGATAATTGTGGCTGTTGGCCATCTAACCCGTTATGCTGAAACCGAAGCTTTACCAGCCACTGTTGCTCGTGATGTCGCCTTGTTCATCTTGGGTAGCTTTGTCCTTCGCCGTGGCGCGCCACGTGAACTGCTTAGCGACCGTGAGCGTGCGTGTCTATCGCAAGTCGTCCAGAAGCTTCTCAGTGAGTGCAACATTATTCATCGCACCACTACAAGCTATCACCCACAGACAAACGGTTTGACGGAACACTTTAACCACACGCTCGGTGATATGCTCTCTGTGTACGTATCCTTTGATCATTCTAATTGGTACTTGGTGCTCCCTTTCATGATGTATGCGTATAATACGGCCGCGAAAGCAACTACAGGCTTTTCACCTTTTTTTCACTGTACGGACGTGAGCCCTCTTCTACGCTTGACACGATACTTACCGCCCGGATGCTTCAGAATAACGCCCAGCCTCCGAACTTGTTCAGTGTGCCGAAGAGTGCTGCCAATCAGCGCGTTCATTTACGTCCGTCGCACAAGGTCTCAAAAAAGAACGACTTGAGCCTGCTCACAGCTTCTACGTAGGCTCATTTGTAGGGCTTTCGGTTCCATTCTAGTCCCCCGGCCTCTCCCGAAAGTTGGCACCCAAGTAAACTGGTACGTACCACATGGTTCAATGCACATCACCGGTCAACTACGTCGTCGAACCAGAGACACCTGCCGACTACAGACGATGCCGTGGTCGCGAGACAGTCCATATCAGCCACTTAAAACCTTAATACGATCACCTTGTGCTTGCTTCGCCGTGAGTCGCCAGGATGGTTCCTCTTCACCACCGGGGCAAATGTAGTGGGGAAGAGGGAGAGAGACAGTATCTAGTCGGAGCAGCTAAAAGACGACCAGCTGAGCTCGTGACAGTGATTGACGCCCCTTAAACCAGGCAGTTGGTTTTAGTCAATAAACCCCTTTTATATATATATATATATATATATATATATATATATATTATATATATATATATATATATATATATATATATATATATATATATATATTTATGACGTCATTAGAACAAATGTAATGTGAACAAGAAGAAAGAAAAGTGGGTGAAAAATAACCAGCCGTGATCAGGAATCGAACCTATGACCTTCGAATAACGCGTTCGATGCTTATTCGAAGGTCATAGGTTCGATTCCTGCTCACGGCTGGTTATTTTTTCACCCACTTTTCTTTCTTCTTATTTGCATTACATTTGTTCTAATAACTTCCCCTATACTTTCCTTGGTAATATTGCCCGTTAGATCTCATTAATATTGTGTCAAACACGGAAAAGGAAGCCCTTAGGTATACACCTCTTTCTCTTATATATATATATATATATATATATATATATATATATATATATATATATATATATATATATATATATATATATTAGTGAGCATATGACATGGTACCAGTGATATGAGAGACGGGGCCGGAAATGGGAAACATGGGGCTGCGCTAGTCCCGTGTTTCTATTTCCGCCCCTAAACCATGTCGCATAACATGTCGTATAGTACCGTGTGATATATCAGACCTCGACAGTGGCCCTGATTCAGTGGGCCCTTGCGGTGTCTTGGGCCTGCCGTATTAGGCGGGCTTGTAATTGCGAGTCCGAGCAGAGGAGCGAGGCTTTCCATGCGCGCCCGTCTCGGAATTAACCTCTAATGAAGTCCCATGGGCACGCCTATACCATGCAAATTAAGTCCGAACTGCTAATACAAAATGTACACTTGTCTAATGAAATGGCGTGCATTGGTTTATCGTTACCAGACTAGGGAACGTATGTGTCCGAAGTAGGCGTCACCGCTTGTGCTTTGTTCAACAAGTCTGCAGGAGGATAAATTATAATGGATAAATCTATAATGGATAAGGAGGATCAACCTATAATGCTGCGTGGTGGTTGATCCTTTCAAATTTCTCGTCGTCCTCCCAGCTTGACCAGGCCAATCCAGAGGCTGGTTTGTTAGTATTTGAGCTGTCTGGTCTGCAAAACTGCAACTTTTTAACTTGAAAACTTTGCCTTTGACAACATAAAACACACTTGTAACTGCATACTAAATTAACACGCATGCGATCTTTTTATCGTTTCATAAACATCTGCTCTCTGCGTTGTGTATATCGACGTGGTCACGTAATGCGGCAATAAAGGTTTTGTAATTATGCTACTAAAAATACTATTCTGCGTATATTAGTTTTCTTTTGATTACACATTGGGGGGGGGAAGGGACTCGGATAACTGGAAAATTTTTTTGACAACATAATACACATTTGTAACTGCGTATTAAATTAACATGAATGCTGTCTTACTGTCATCTTATAAACGTGGTTGTTTATATCGACGTTTCGAGGCTTCAAAATTTTAATACTTCATTGCGATTACAGATAAGCATACCGGTTATTATAGAATAAAGTTATGAAATAAATTTTAAACTATGCTTAAGCAGTTATCTTGAGTAACCTTCGAAAACCTCAGTGCGGTTATTTGTCTCATGTATCGATCACCGCGAAAATTTTTAGAATCCGTCAAGTATGAGCAAAGTTAGATTCATCGGCCTCTGTAATTGCCTTCTTCTCCATCTCGTTCCGACGAGCGCGCTGTAAGCTAAGGAGGCAAGTATAACACGGAGGAAGGAAGTTACGTCGGGCGCCCGTCATGACATTGAGCACTTTTTTCAAGCGCGTTGATTTCTCTCACGGTGATCGCGGGCACGTGGCGACCTCCCGAGGCAGCTCCAGTAACTCTGCAGCCCACGATGCTCAAATCAGCCAATGACCTGAAAGTTTGGGTATATGGTGCAGTCACTTGGGTATGTGGCATCATTCGTAGTAGAGAAAGTCATTTATAGCTGTCTTCGCAAACTGTAAATTTCAGGCCTCGTGCATTGCTATGTTTGCTAGGCACGGATTTGGCGCCAATAATTACCTATGCCATTGGACACCTAAAGAAAAAAAGAACGGACTAATCATCGTTAATGCCCTTTAACGATGATTAGTCCGACTTTAATGCCCCCCCGCACAAACTGGGGCTACAAAAGAGATACACCCAAAGGCAATTACTTGTTCATGTCGTAGAAAATTCATACCTACAGCTGGAAACGTTGCCCACCGCTCCCACTAAAACAGGGAATAGCGTAATGGCCAATACGTGCCCAAACCTCACCTTTAAGCTAAATGTTTGAGATGGGCGCTGGCAAAACTTGGGAAAACTTGGGAAGCGACCATTTTATCCTAAGCTTCTCCACCACCACTCCCAAACTCAAACGCAGACTTTCTTCCGCGTTTGTAACAGATTGGCCGTTATATCGCAAGTACCCGTTCCCTTTAACCGCACCAGAAGGCGTGGAAGAACGAAAACTGAGCCTTAAAGAGGCTTATCAAGTAAAGCAAGGAAAATAATTCGTACTACGGAAAACCCATGCACCTAAACTACAAGAGGAAAAGTGGACCAAGTTTACCGATTCCTTAAGGTGAACTCTATTGACAGCAAAAACGTGGGCCATACTGAGAAGTATGCTCGATCCCAAAAATACAAAGACTGCAACAACGCAAGCCCTCAGGACACTAACGGGCACGTACCAAGGATCTCGTCAAATTGCTCTAGAATCTTAGGGAGCGATATATCGGAAGAAAGAATCAAAACATGTTACACACTCTTACGTAGGCATAAAAAATGGCACTACAGACACCCCAGTAACTAAGGCAGAGCTTTTTGCTACGACAAAAACATTAAAAAAAGTTTCATTACAGGGGAAAATGGTATAACCAATCCTATGATCCGCATTCAAGCGACGAGCCACTCCAGCGCTTAGTTAAGTACTTCGATGACATGGGAGATGGGCGCCTTCTACATCAGTGGAAATATACCATCATCATACTTATTCAAAAAGCCGGCAAACATTGTAGTGTGCATTGTATCGTGTCTTTAAACAGTCATATTGGCTAAAGCTGCACTAACAAAACAAAAATCAGCCCCAGTGGTTTATTTTCAGCCTTTTTGAAGCGAGCGATAAGAAAGGAGGGAAAGGGAGCTCATGAAGAACAGACTCAGTGTGACGTATAAACACTGATAATCTGCAATCTGATACATCTCCTCTTCCTGATCCAATATTAAAAAAACAAGTTTAGAAAACTTGGCGGTAGTTGGCGCCGTAATGTAATCGTCGGGGTTTCGTGCATTTCTCGGTCGACCTTCGTTCACCTGAAGAGTTGACACCTCCGTGGTCAGCCTATTGCATTGTAGTTGTGAAACTCGTCATGCCTTGGTCACCGTGCGTTTGTTCTCCTTGTGTATTGCAGTCCTGTCTTTCATCCGGATTGAACATGTTACCCGGGGTTACGGCATCGTGTTGATCCTCGCTCGCATCGTTTCTTGGTATGCGCAACCGGTGTTGCCTGTTTCACCTCAGCATCCACTGGTCCTCGGTCTTCACCATATATGACCTTGGCGTGGCTTGCGCGCTTACTGTGGCTGTGAGTGACCAGTCTCTATTATGAATGCGCACCGACGTTCTTCTCTCGAGTGGTGATAGTTCCTTGCTCCACGAAGACTGGCGATGCTTTGTCACTGGAATTACGGGATCGTCTTTATATTTGGGCAGGGTCATGCGAAGGTGTCGACCTTGCAGTAGCTCGCCCGAAGAGCGACCATCTTCTAGAGAGGATGAGCTATAGGCTAAAAAAACTCAACAAAAATCATCGCGGGAGTCGTTGGTCTTCTTTAAGGTGTGCCTAACAATCTGGACCTCCTTTCTGCCAGTCCATTTGATCTCGGGAACTCTGGACTCAATGTGATATGCTGTAAGTCATATTTTATGGCATCCGTCGGAATTCTAGTGATCCAAACTGGGGCCCATTGTCAGTACATACTTGAACCAGGGTGCTGTACCGTGAGAAAATAACAGACATTTCATCGACTTCTTTGGATGATGTGCCACTTAGCTGGGCATCGTAAACTGGAGTGGGACTGTATACGATGGCATAGGAGGCTCCACCGAACTCAGGAATGTCGATTACTACTCGGTGCCATGGCTTGTCCGGAATTGGCTGCATGAGCAGAGGCTAACTCGGCTGTTTGTGTGCATACTTCTGGTAAGTACTGCACCCCCGAATAAAGGAATCGGTAGTACTGCTCATTCCAGGCCAAAATACTAATCTGTGTGCTCTCGCCTTGCATTTATTTAGTCCAAGGTGTCCGTTGTGGTTTCGTCGAGGCATTTATCCTCTCATTGCTTTAGGTATAACCACTTTGCAGCACATAAGTAGTACTCCTTCTACCACAGGCAATTCTTCGGCAAAGGGCTTGAGACCACCTTCGATTGTGTCACCCCATCATATTCGTTCTTTCATCTCGCTCAAATACGGGTCGTATGCACGAACTAGCGAACAGAGCTGACAACGCCTTGACTAAAATACCAAAGGGCAACAGCCCACAAGACATTGTGGAGCAGAAGCATCGTGAACGACGAATGTACACGTCTCCGCATCCACAGCCCCCAGTTGGAGACGCTCACAAATACAGAAAGATAAACATCTATCCGCACTTGGCACTATGGCAAGCATTGTGGCCCAACGATCAACGCCGGTCAATGCCCATGGTGTGGGAGGCGGCCATGTCTTCCCTACATTATGTGGGAAATATGTCGAGGCCAAGCTTGCTGTATGTATGTCGAGGATGTATGTCGAGGCTAAGCTTGTCGAGGCCAAGCTTGAGCCCTGGGAGGCCGTTCTCGCTTGAACCGACCTGGAGACCCAGAAGGGTCTCTTGGATCAAGCTGGTCGTAAAGCAACGACCACTGTAGTTCTGGGCTAGGGACCCACCCTTGGCACTCCCTTGTCTCTATTTTTGAATAAAGTTTTTCAATCAATCTACGAGCTTCGACTAACATCCGACAGTTTTCTGACTGTGCTATAAAAGTGCTACATGACCCCTATTGTGCGCAATAGACAAATAAACAATTTGTTGGTGCAACTTTCAAAGGTCAGCTAGATGTCTGTTTCTGAATCTATAAAGTCTTGCCTTGTCCAATTAAGAGTCAAATAGTCATCCGAACTCTCATTCATGATTCGCCGAAGGAGCACTGATACACGCAGTATGTTATTTTTGAAGAGCATAAAGACGAAATGTTTTTGCCGCATTGCATGACCATTGCGAACGAGTCCACTTACTGAGATTTTGTCTGAATCAATCAGGAGAACGCTTTTATCACCTGAATATTTCAAACTGAATATGCCTTAAAAGGGTATTAAGTTTTTATCTAGTATATTCTATAACGCGGTATCCAGTATTAATGAACCATAATGAACGATGAAAGCAAACGGGAGAGGGATACCTGACGAGTTGCACGTAATCTGAGAGCCATATCTTGTTATTTATGTTCCTTTGCAGGCTGCTAAGGCTAATGAAGACAGCTCTGAAGTGTTTGTTACTTGCAAGGTTACTGACTGCGGAGGCAGTGCCTTCGTGGGAAAGGACGACATCATGTTTCGTTGCGTCGTTTGTAATCACTACACCTGCGTGAAGTGCTCGGCTTTCCACGAATCTATGACTTGCACCGAGTACCAGCAGAACAAGGACAACGTGGAAGTACCTTCATACAAGCCTGGGGGGTTACCTGTGGTCAGTAACAGTACTTCAACGCCCGTTCGTCATGTTAAAAACGTATATGAAATCGTTGTACGTGCTGTTACACAGCTGTGTTGCAGTAAAAAAGTTGCGGTGCTGGTGTTTAGAAGTATAACATATATGCTGCTTGTAATTTATTAATATCTTCAAAGGGAAGGTAATGTGAATTAGTGTGGGCATTCGTTATGCGCTTCTCATCTGTACATCAGCATAATCATCATCCGTCCGGCTCTCTGTGCTCATCTTCCCCAAGAATAATTGCTGGATCACGCCCTCTGATTACATAAGCTGGAGCCATATTTTTACTCTAAGCAAACAAAGCGCAAGCCAAGAAGGCAGAGACAAACAAACTGAGGGTTGGTAGCAATGATACTGTTAAAGGTATGCTACAGCAGTGGAAGTGTGACCTATGTTTTTAAATTGAAAGTCCCTGGTTTGATTCCCGCCGGCAAGGTTGCATTTCGGTGGAGATGAATTGCTATAGAGGCCCGTTGTACAGAAGGCCTGGCGGAAATTGCCGGAGCCCTCCACTGCGGAGTGCCTCGTAATCCTATCGCAGTTTTGGTACGCAAAACGAACAATTGAAGTAAATCTGGAGTTATCGAAATGAACGCGTATCTTTTGGTGACGTATGCAATTGTAGTCGTAATGCGTTTAACACCGACACTGTACATATTACTCTCAGAAATAATCGAATAAATAAAAAATTTACTGGTGGTGCTTGAGTTGAACCCGGGCTCCCACGTACCGAAGTCATTATTATTATTATTATTATTATTATTATTATTATTATTATTATTATTATTATTATTAACAACTTCGACAAGTCAAGGTTTCCATGGTGCAAAACACGTCAGCCACGCTTTGGCTGGCACGAGAATAAAGTTTTGGCAAGGACGACGAATGCTTGTACAAACGGAATGTCTGAACCATACAAATTCGTTGTACCCAACGTGCAAGACAAATGTAAGAGTTTTTTCTCTGAAGGTTTTGTAGACTTTTGAGGTAGAAGTATAAAACCCCTCTGCAGGACAAAATGTAAAGTCGACATTGAGAATCGTACGTATCAGGAAGATAGCGGATTTGCGAAAATTGAATGCAAACGTGCTTTTAGGGCATCTCGCGATCTGCATTTTAAGGGGCCGCTAAAGACGCTGACAGTGTAGAAAGAAGGAACACGCCATGCAACACTGTGCCGATCAATGCAATAAATGATTTCTTACCTTTGTTGAAAATGCTGCATCGCCTCTGTTTCGTGCGCTAAACAGCTTCGCTTATCACACACCTCCACGAAGTGGTGAAGTTCGTTAGTTTTCTTAATGCAAAAGCCCACCATCACCATCTTTAGCTATATAGTAAACGAAAGTGTCTAAAAAGAAGCCTTGTCGCATTGATTGTTGTTTTTGGTGCGTTCTGTTGTTTTGAGTACAGCGCTTTCAGCGTGCTCTCATTGTGCTTTAGGAAAGCAATGAGGAGGCCGAGGAGGAAAAGTCCGAAGAGCACGAAGCCGCTGAAGATGCGGAGGGCATGATTGTGACGTGCCGTTATAAAGGTTGTAATGGCTATTCATACGTGTACAAGACAGCAACTACGGCTCAATGCGAGATATGCAGCCACTGGACTTGCGTGGCGTGCAAGGCCTGCCATGAATCCCAAAGCTGTGCCCAGTACAAAGGAATTGAGCTTCCTGCGGAACCGCTGGTAAGAACTGTTACTTGCAGCAGAAACTATCGATGTTCGTCGCAGCCAATGGGTACCGCATTGTCGTTGAAGTGTTAAGCTACTTATCTGCACCTACATTCGATCGACTGAACAACAATTTGACAAGACTTTAGTGTCTGTTGTCTCAACGCACTTCCTGACACACATCGGGAAACCATCAGCGTGTCGAACGGTGTGATTGGTTGCACAACTCAAAAGATGAGGCACTCGCCTCTGGTTAAGTCAGAGAACCGGGCTTCGGCATTGAAAGCGCGTCATTAAAAAGAAGTGGTCGAAACAACATTTATATATCTTTGTCGGCTGTAGATATGTGTTGGGATGACGAGTGCGTATATGAAGCCACTCGTGCTTATACGGTGCATCCGGACCTGTACATGTTTGATGCAGGCATGGTTGGTCACTCGATTGGTCCAAATGGAAGGGAGATAAAAATATCATATGCCATTCCCAGCCATTTGGGCGAGCAATTCAACTGCGATCGAAAAGAATTGTGCTGATTTCTTGCATTGAAAACAGTAACTTGCTAGAATATTTCGGGGAGAGAAAGGAGTTTGCTCAAGTGGGAGCTTTTCGAATTTCGCTTAATGTCGTCCGATTGACGTTTGTTGAAAAATTAACTCTGAGCGTGTCTTTTCTGGTTTCGATTCTAAATTATAGGCTTATGCAATAGGCGAATGTATTTGCTTGAGGTGTTTGAATTTCAGGAGTAATAGTCCAATTTTTTTGCCATATACGTCTGCAGAAATTTTGCCAAAACGTTCTGTTCTGCATTTTTCCTTGTAAGAAATACTTACTCTACATAAGGTGTATTTGAGTGTAAATATTTTCAAACAACTCAAATTTGTCAATATGACAAAAATGTCCCGAACTTGAGGAAGTATTCCTTTCAGGCTGCATTTAGATGCCTTTTACACCACGTGGTGCGATAAATTAAAAAAGTTCACCGCCAGTGCGAAACCGTGAACGTGATGGGAAGGAATCGCCACGTCCCCTGAAGAACGACAAATAGCTCGATAGTTGCAGCTTGAGGCCGGAGCGCAAATGACACTCGAAAAGAAAGGACAGGTACACACGGGACCAGCGTGAACTAACAACTGTCGCAGTTGTTACACCTTCGTTTGAGCAATGCGCAACAAGTGCCGACAATGCAGAACCCGACGTGCTTGAATATTTTTTGTTTCTTTTAAACTGCCACACGGCGGCTTTTTGCTCAAGGTGTGCATGGTGTTTTTGTTTGTTTGTTTCGTTCCCAATCATGAGTGGAAACAGAGAGGATCCACTTTTTCGTGCGGGTCTCAAGGACACTTTTCAAATCGAAAGAAAATGTAAGAGCGTTGCGTGATGGAAAACTCTCGAGTTTCATTGAGATCTTCATACCGCGAACGGTAAATGATGTATTCAAATAGACCACCTTTATATGTATAGCGCGGGGTCGACATGTCTAATGAAGAGTGCTGCGGAGGTAGAAGTTGCTAGTTCGATTTCTTGGTATAAGCGCTACGAAATTTTTCTTCCGATTTTTTCGCTTGTGAATTATATACGAGACATGACGGTGACGCCAACGACAAAACTCCACCGAGACTGTCCATATAATTGCTTACGAAATAAAACCAACTTTATACCTCGATCGAAAGCAAATAAACTGTTCTCACATGCCTACCTTTTACCACTACGCTTTTTCGTTTTTGAAAAAATAAAATTTCAAGTTTCTCGTTTACAACAATGCCTGATAAAAATACGCAGGTTGTCGAAATTATCCGGAGTATTCCAGTACGGCGTCTTTCTAGCTTGTCGTTTCAAGACGTTAAACCACACAAACAAATCAATCAAACAATCAATAAATGACCTTCGTGTTTATGGAACGCATCAACTGCGCATGCGCTGTAGATAGCGTAACAGTACGGCGATGAGGTAGTGCTTGAAGTTGTGAATGTGCATCTGAAGCGTATATGTGACTGCTCGCAATAAAGCAGTGCTAATTTGCCAATAAATTGCAGCTTCTCGTAGGTAGTGGCAACGTCGCTCACGCAAAATTGAAAGCTTTTTGTATAAATGTGAGTGGTAAGCGTGAAAGTTTACCAGCAGAGCTTATTGGCGGTCCGTGTATTTTATCTTGTGAGTGGCGTATACACAGATTCAACGAGCTGAAGTGGCTGGTCACTGCTTGTGCACTTTCCTCGTGCGTGCACTGGGTCTTACATGCTTTAATCTCACTTGCAGAGACGCGTTGAAGCAACAATCAATTCCGTGTTCCATCTTTTACTGCATGATTCTCGCCAGAGTTGTAACAGAAAATGTTCGCAGTCACCGAATTATGATTGTCTCTGCACACGTAGCACCATGTGCATTGATTTATTTAGCGAATGTTTATTGCAATATTAAGGCCGATAACATTAAGCTTTTTTTCTGCGTTTGCCTAATACATTGATATCGCAATCGCAATGCATGATATATCTGCCACTATTTAATGGATTGCTAGATATAGCATTTTGGACAAACCGTTCAGTTAAGAAATATTTACAATGTAGGAAGCATAAAACACTGCTCTTCGATTTCCCAGCCAGCTAAAATATGCTTCGTTTCCTTTTATTCCCAAGGTGCCGAGAATCCCATCCCAGAAACAAATACCGAAGCCCGGAAATGATGCTTGGAGCAGAGAACATGGTTTATTTTCAGGTGTAATGAGGGCCTTCAACCGCCTTCGTAGTGGTGTGAGTCTTTTCACTTCATTTTGTGAAATTTGATAAATGTAGCGCATGGGAAAGCGAAATGAAAGAAAAAGTTGGTTTCGTCGCAAGGGCGTTGCAATGAATGCAATAGCAACAACTAGGAAAGCACGTGCTGAGAACGGTTCTCAGATCGAAACGTGCAGCGCGCTGCTCACGCACAAATATCGCACAAAAACAACACACACAGGACGAGAGCTAACAACGCTTAGAGATCGACGCCTAATGCGCTGTTCAAACAAAAGGACGCGCGAAACAGAATCACAGGTACAGATATGAGTGCTAACTAACGAGTGTCCCAGTTGTTACTTCGCCGTGTTTGAAAAGTGCGCTCTTTTCGAAAACGGGGCCTGTGCAGCAAGCGAAGTGACTTTTGTGGCCCAGGCAACTAACACAATCGCTACATTGAAAGGCCTTGGCACACGATTCTCCCCGCGCGCGCCCAAGCACCTAACACCCCCGCCCCCATCCGCGGGGCAAAGTACGCGTGGGAGATTAGCGCGCGTTGGCGCATCGCGACGAGCTTGGTGCCGAGCGTGAGCGGTTTTTAAAGACGATAGTCTTTTTTTTAAAGATAATAGTCCATCTTGGGGACCTTCGACGGAAAAATTTTGGTCTGTCTGTCTGTCTGTCTGTCTGTCTGTCTGTCTGTCTGTCTGTCTGTCTGTCTGTCTGTCTGTACATTTGCCTGTTTGTCCGCTCTTACCGATATCCAGTGCTGCCAACCTGTGGAGCCACTTTTTCCCTCTCTGGAGTGAAAAAAATTCCTTAGATTTCTCTAGATTTTTATGAAAAGCAGCTTTTTCAAGACTAATATGTGTTTCTGCTGTGAAAAACAATTTCCAAGTTCACTTTGATAATATATTAGTGTATTCGTTTGAAAATATTCACTAAAATAACCATGTTGAAGGTGAAAAAATGTCGCAGTAGAAATTAAAAAGCTTTAAACAACATTTTATCCCACGAAATCACAAAGGTAAGTGGTCATCACATTCAGGGTGGACCTGATCGCAGTATTTTATACAAGTGACCAAGAAAAAGGCATCGCATAAAGGTTGAAGAAGGAATAAATTATCACAATAATACTTAGAAACACTGCTAGCTGTTCAATGCATAACACAGAAATGTTACACTACAATACGGTGCACTTGTAATAGCATGCAAGTTACAAAGTAATGATAATAATAATAGTAATAATAATATTATTAATAATAATTATAACCAGACCGAGCATATAAAGCGCAGTACGTGAAATATTCCAGTAAGCTAGCTATCAAAAATTAATCAAGTCTGTTATTTTGCAACTCTCCCGCATAAAATGCTTGGTGGTGTTCATATAAAACATGAAGTGATACACCCATACTTAATATATAAACAGAGTCTTCAACAACGTCACTCTCAATCTTTGTCATGATATCGGATCCAGGATATTGCGACGAAAAATAGTTTTAACCATGAAAGCATGTTATGCCGTGTGGCAGTTCATCCCTCGCAACCTGCTGAATGGTAATGAAAAAGATATGTTTGTTTTAAATGTTGACTGCCGCATATTCATTCCAAATATATCCTTGCATTCTTCCACCAGGCACTTTTTTTCAACATTTTTTTCAGCTGTGCAAATAACCACATACATGCAGCCTACAGTTCTGGCTGCGCTTTTCACAGAAACCTTCGTGACCTTGGCGGAATCACATGGCTCCACGGGCCAGCTCACAAGCAACATGACAGCGTTCACAAATAGGGGAAACCAATAAAAAACAACAACAAACGAAAGAAATAACGCCGCGGGTGAAAGGCGAGAAAATGGGAGGTTGGTGTAAAGGAAAACATATATATATATACTTAGCGGGCTAGAGTGAGAGCACCTTTTCTTCGGTTTAAACCGGGATTCAGGCAATTGGCGTCGAACACGGACTTCACAGAATGAACCGCAATGAAGAGGAGGAGAGGAGAGCGCTGACACAGCGTTGGGGACGGTGACCAGCCCCATCCCCCCAGGCAGTGCACCGTGCTCCCGACCGGGTTGCAGAAATTAGGTGCCTTTTCTTATCTTGAATTAAATTGAATTGAATTGTTTATTCACAACAACAAAGTTGCGAGAATGACCAGGCAAAAAAGCTGCATTGAGCACCTTGAGGGGAACCTGGCCACCTCATACACTGGGCAGCTTCACAGCGGTCACACATAAACATGGTATACATCATGAATGAACTAACTTAAAAAACACAAAAACGGTAAACATCCATGGTTGGAATAAATAAACAAGGTCTTCTAACCACTACCCCCCTCCATCCCCCTTTGCACCCCTCGACACCACTACTGGGCATGGCACACCACGTTTGGGTGAGTGTAGAGGGGGTGTAAAAGAGAAAAGGTGGAAGAAGGAAGAAAAAAGAGGTTGTGGGCGGGATGTCCCTCCGTTCATAGAGTTACATACAAGTATTATTGTTTGAAACTCTATGCCTCCGTCGATCTGCTTGCTTCACGTGGAAGCAAGAAAGTTCCCTAGATGTTGAAAGATTTCCCTTTTCTCCAAAATACAACTACAATTTCCCTAGAATTAAGAAAATTTCTGCAGCCCCGCCATGGTGGTCTAGTGGCTAAGGTACTCGGCTGCTGACCCGCAGGTCACGGGATCAAATCCCGGCTTTGGCGGCTGCATTTCTGATAAAGGCGGAAATTTTGTAGGCCCGTGTACTCAAATTTGGGTGCACGTTAAAGAACCCCATGTGGTCTAAATTTCCGGAGCCCTCCACTACGGCGTCTCTCATAATCATATGGTGGTTTTGGGACGTTAAACCCCACGATTCAATCAAGAAAATTTCTGCAGAGTTGGCAGCACTGCCGATATCTCAAACGGCATCAAACGGCCAACCCAATCCGCAGCGCCCACCAATATTAGATATTGGTGGACGACGGAAAACCACTTCGCCGCCAGCCTCAGATTATTTGGGATTCGCGCGTTCAATCGCCCGTTTATCTTCGTCCTGATAAACCATGATCTGTTCAGCCGTTCGCTGCTCCAACTCGAGCGTGCAAGGCAAATGCAGGTATCAACTTCCATGTAATGAAGACAAAAACGAGGTGGGCCGCGATTGTCAAGACAGTCACAGCGACAGGTAGCCTTTTTTGTGCGGAATTTTAAGCCAGAGTGCGCGAAAACCATTTTATCACAGGTACGTGTGTATTCCACACTAAAAAAAAACTTACGCATGAATTTGCTGCGAATATTATATTGAGAAATAACTCATCGCGCAGGCGCGCCTAGCAAAGATATTATGGGAACGAGCGAGCGAAATCTACCAGCCATACGAGATTAGCGCCGGCCATTGCACCTATATATATGACAAAAAAAAAAACGCGAAAGCTTCATTCAAAAGTAAGTTTACACGAAGCGCTGGAAGAGTTCATTTGCGTTTATCTTGGTCAAACTGTGCGCCAGGACGGCACCAAAAGGAAGAAGTGCGTTAAACAAGCGCAGGATTTCGATTATTCGGCACCGTCTATGTCTGACTGTATTGTTTATGTGCCGCCGTGCCTTGCAGCTTGATTAAGATCAGCGTTCAAATAAGCATCTGACTTTGACTAAGGAATGCGTCTTATAGCGCGCAAATGACTAGGAAAAAATACCTCAACGCGCTCAATAAGTGTTGCGCTTCATGCCGATCGACTGCCGATGTCGGCCGAAGCAGCGATCCCGAAGTTAACTCTTAGCACAGTGCTACAGTCATCCCCATCCCCTGAGATCTTGAAAAAGGTGAATTTTTATCTGCAGTACCGTATCATACAAGGAAAACTGTTTTGTGTATCGACTGATCTGCTAGCCAAACTGACAGCACCCCCGAGCACCATAAAAGCATTGCAGATCATTTTAGTGCAACAAAAAAGTTTCCGGACCGTTCATGGCTTTCGTAGCTGGTCATCGTCAGTCACAGTTGGAAAAAAATCAAGAAAGCACTGACATTGCACGGCGAGGTGCTTTTTTCAACGGAGCAGTACAAAAATGTGCGCGTACCGCTGCTGACTTGTGCGGTGCGTCGAACCGCAAGCCGTTGCATCCGACAGTTCGCTGCGATTGCCCATTTTACCGGTCACATATACTGTCGTTAGGGGCCCGTCACAGGAGTGAGATTGTAACAGTGACGAAGCCGTCTTAATAGCGATGCAGCTAATAGTGACGGGCCCCGTAATCGTAAAGCAATGACTACGGTGTGGCCCGTGGGGGGGGGGGGGGGGGGGCTGTCACGGTAGTTTAATAGTAAAAATGAGGGGGGGGGGGTATTACCGTAAATTATTTGTAGTCGTTTTAGAAGCCACCACCTAGTTGTTCTGGTGGCGCAGAGGGTGACACGCAGTTATGTATGGTGTCATGCCGCAGGCCGTCAGATCAAATCCCGGTCTGTTATTTTTAATTTTGTTCATAGTAATGCGTCAATATTCGCGTTAAGCTTTCTAGGAGTCGTAATTTCACTTTTTTTGCAAAAAAATCACTTCGCTGTTTGTGCCGGTTGTTAGCCCTACCGCGTTGATCTTTCGAGGCGCAGTGGGTACGTTGTTGGTGTGCGACTTCAGTTCGAGTCGCACTGACCAAATGAACGTTTCTCTTTTTTTTTCTGCTTTCAATATTGTTTCGAGTAATGTTGTCTATTTCTAAGGCAGCATCCTACAGTGGAACGTTGGGAGAAGCCGCTGGCCAGCGAGAACCTGGAAGATCAGCTGAGTCGAGGTTCTCGCTGACGGACCCGGCTCACTGAGTGGCATCTGCCGCAGAGCCCTGGTAGCTCACCCCACCCCCCTCAAAATGCACTACAGTACTGCTGGTGTAGCGAGTTTCCAGCACCACTAAAAGTGCGTGCACAGATACTATACCGCATCGAGACAATTACTACAGCACCGTAATGGTGTAATTATGAGGTGGCCCGTTTTAACAGCGCTGTTTATAGTGACAGGCCTCGACATATAGCTGCTGTTTGTGCTCTTACTGGAGGGGCTGGAAAAGTTTTTTCTTCACTGCTGCGCGAGGTGACTGCGGTCAAGCTTCCTATACGGCTACCTTCCCTCATTGTAGGATACATCGACGCTGCTAGATGCATGTTCATTTTTGCATACTATTCGCTTCATCGACACAGTCACCCCTTGTGGTTTACACAAGCCTGCAGCCGCACCAGCCAGCACTTGCAAATTATAGCATCTGGACGACCGGTCACGCCCACGACTTTGGCGCACGCGCATTTTAATCGCCGAAAACGATACGGAACACGTTTCGCGCCTGCAGGACAAGTGTCGTCCCAGGATGGGAAGACAGCTACAGAGAGCACACTACGGTGCGAGTATCTAGAGCTCGAATGTCTCTAAATTTGCATAGCAATAGCACAGATTAATGGGACGAAAGTGACGTGCATATACCTTGTTTGAAGGAGCAGATTCGATCACATCAATAAGTCTGTGTTTGATTTCAGGCGAAGTAGGCCTGAAGTCGGAGCTCCATGTATTGAAGTTTTATGAATTGTGGTTTTGGTACTTACTGAAACCTACTGTCCAACTACATAGTCCTCAGGGTTGGAAAACATTCTATGTTGACCTGCACAACGTTCGGCATCAGCCCATATGTCGCCTTTATACAGCGACACGAAAAATACGCGGAATAGATTGATTTGGAAAAATCACGTGATGTGTAACAAATTATTCGTTGGAGCTATGGTACGAATGCAAAGGAATGGAAACCCCACCGAGGGTGGTTGTTCAATGCGATAATGAAGTTAATTTGTCCGCATACAATGGAATCTTCTTGCCCAGCACAGTATCAATCGGAAATCATCAGGAAAGGTCTTCCTTCCACGTTGGACCTAAAAAAAGTTGATAGTTATATCCCTGATGAATGAACACGCATGTCATTTAAAAATGAGTAACAATACTTGAAACAATACTGAGAGATGGAAATAAAAAAGAGCGCAATTTGCACCGAAGTTGGACACCAACGACACTGCGCCACGAAATCCATATGGTAGGGTTCTCTAACAATCGCCGCCAACAGCGACATGATTTTTTTGCAGCATTACCTTGAAAAAAAAAGGAAAAAAAGGAAAACAATGGAAAATGAGAATTTGAACCGACGACCTGCGTAACGGCATGACCGCATAACCGACTGCGTGTCTCCCCACTGCACCACCAGAACGGCTAGGCTGTGGGGCCTAAAATGATTACAAACGTACGGCAACGCGCCCCCTCATTTTTATCATTACAATACAGAGACGGGCCCCCTTATAATCATTGTTTTATGATGACGGGGCCGTAGCTGTAGCTGCATCGCTATTATGACGGATATTGTCACTGTTACGCTTGTCCAGCAACCTGCGACATCGACTAGTGCGGTAATGCCGACCCCAAGGAGCGCTGGGCGTAACGCTAAGGGGAGCGTTCTTGAAAAAAGTATTTTATTTTATTTTTTTATTTACAGAATACTGCGGTCGAAAGACCAAGCAGGGAGGCATAATAAAAAGTGATTCACAATGTAACCTAAATAAAAAAAGTTCAAGCAATAAAAACATGTTAAGGCAGTAGAACACAGGATAACATTTGAACAAAGTTAAATGGCAGCAAGAAATTGCAAATTGCAACCGGAGAATGCAAATCAAATACAACGTGAGACAGTCCGAGATCTTGAGTTGTACGGTTAAAAATGGAAAGATATATAGTTATCGAAGTCAGGATTTTCGTTATCACAGAATGCTTCAAAAGGTAACGCGTTCTAATTATTGATCGTCCGAGGAAAGAGCGAGTTCATGAAAAGATTAGTACGTGCGAAGTAAGGCTCAAGAGTGTAGCTGTGAGTATGTCGAGTTTGTCTTGAGATTCGATTTCTTATAAAAGTTTCTGGACAAATGTTAAATTTACGGAAATAAAGTGAGTGTAGACACTTCAGCCGGGCAACAGCTCTTCGGTATTGTAAAGTAGGGATATCATTAATGGCCATGATCGTTGTTGGCGAGTCATTTCTGTGGTAGGCATTAAAGATAAAGCGGCCTTTCGCTGCACCTTCTCAAGCTTCTTAACATCTTTCTTTATATGTGGGCCTCAAACGACACTAGCGTAATTAATCTAACTTTGGTCTTATAAAAGCATTGTAGGCCAACATTTTGATTTGTAGGCATTGTAAACATTGTAGGCCAACATTTTGAGGGCGCTGTTTTTAATTTGTGTCTCAAAAAACCGAGCTTTCTAGAAGATGTGCAATACTGCATTACTGAGCAATGCCCGATTTTTCGCTAATATCACTTCAGGCAATTAATGCTGACAACGTCCTTATGCTGTGCAGTATGATTAGTTTTAATTGGCAGGCTGGATTTTTTTTCCCGAGACATTTTGTGTATCCATTGAAAATGTATGGGGGGATTTTTGAAAAGCTAATTGTAGCGCAACGATAAGTTATTCGCTAATTGCACTCTAGTGGCATGTACGATAAGACCATCTGTCTTTGCGTTTGCGATTTCATGGGATTAAGCTGGTTGGATACTTTTTTCTGAAGGGCTTTCCCAAATCTATAGGGCCGCGAAAGCAGCATTACAGGAATAAAAGAATCACCTATCGGTAAATCGATGAGAAAGTTAACGTTGATCATGGTAAAACATCAGCAAAAGTCTGCACATGTGATGTACATTATGATGTACAGAATAAAATGTGGTATATGTGAAGCTATAAGAACGGCCACAAGCGCATCATGAGCGTGGCGTGTAGTCATGTTCTTACATGACAGCGATCTCATGATTCTCTTGTTTGCACCAGTCATATACCTTCGTCATCCATTCACGTCCCGTAATACCAAATTTGGTATATGTGAAAGCGAAACGACCACGAGCGCACCATGAGTGTGGCGTGTAGTTATGACATGCATGTCATGATTTCCACGTTAGGGTCTGTCACTTATGTTCACCATGCAGTCATGTCATACCATACCATTTTTGCCATATATGTGAACGAAACCACCGGAAGAGCAGAAAGACCATAAAATGTAAATAATGACATTCATTACATATCACGATTTTGCTCTTATGACTAGCCAATTATGCTCGTCATGGAGTCATGTTATGCCATTCTAATTTTGGTGTCGATACCATTGTATAAACGGCCAGGAGAGCTAAGTTCTAGACAGACGGGTGGATAGACGAACGGACAGATAGATGGACGAACAGGCGGACGGACGGACGGACGGACGGACGAACGGACGGACGAACGGACGGACGGACGGACGTGCTTGAAGTCGTCGAAGTGCTCTAAGAAATGCTTCGCATTAAATAAGTTTTCATTCATTGAGCGCTTCTCCGACTGAGCACTACGCCAACCTCGACTAACCGATTTACGGGAGGTTCTAGCCGGAATGAGTGACATTCGCAGATGTACGCGCGGTAAATCTATGGAGCATGCCCATTGCGTGACGGTCGGAATAGAAGCTAGAAAGGAAACTATAAGTCCGCTTAGACTGTGCTATTTCGAAACCTTATTTTATTTCGCTGTTATAGTCTCATAATTAGAAGGCAAGGGAAAGTTACACTCTACAAATTTTGCGACGAAGCACCACAGCTGGCATTTCATTTTTTAATGACGGATTTTATGTGTTTTTTTTTAATTTTTACAGTCATCAGAATTTTCATACGAGTCGAACGCGTTATCAATTGCACTAAGCGTTACTTAGAGATAAGAGAAAGTCATTTGCAAAACTATCGAGAATGTAATTTATTATAAGTAATTGAACATGTGTAGTAAGTTGCCTTCGAATTTCATTCTTAACACACTCAGGAGTGAGTATGTTTCGGCAAATACAGTGTCCAGACGTGTGCAACTTGCTAAAATGTGTTCAACGACTTTTTTTTGTCATTCCGCCAGGCACATGGTTGCACATATTTCAGCGAAAGCAAATGATGAACAAAAAATGAAGTGCACACCACTTCTGCTAGGTCAAATAGTGTGCTCGCTTGTTAATGTGCTGAGTTGCGTCCTTTTTCCATAATGGCACTACAAACACATTTGCATTTAGAGCAGCATCAGCGAGTATTTCCCCGGAGATGTCATGATATTCCTGCAGCCAATAAAACTCGATGTTATGTTGGTGCACTTCCCACCTCTCTGGGACTACCTAATAACGTCATAGGACTTGGAACTAATAGTCGCTTAACAAAGGCCATGAAGCTACATTTGACTTGTTTACTGCTTACGTATTCACTTTCTGTTGGCTAATGTAATCAAAGAAGCCTCGTACGGCAACAATCTCTCAACTTGTCGATATCGCGATGTGAAAAATGCTGTATAGTTGACCATTAATGTTGATTGGACAACCACTGCGCCAATTGTCTGAATAAGAGGGTCATCAGGAAGTTAAACTGATGAATGATAAAAGTGAAAAACACATAGTAAACGATCCTTTGTTTATCACTTTAAAAAAAAGTCAGCCGTCTTGTCTATGTCAGAGATGTACAGGTTTATGGCTGGTTAGGCTTTTGTCTTAGAAAACAACATAAGGATGCTAAGTTCATAACCAATAGTGTAGTTAGATTGTTTGTACCTGCTAATGAGTCACCGCGTGTCGGCGACGCGGCTTTGCAGTTAATTCGACGAAAAATCACTGCATTTGTTTGATAGAAACTTCTCATATGATCTGTAACTTGGCATTGAAACTTGGTGAGGTTTTGAACTGTGACATGCACGTCGTTCTCTTTTCTTCGACACAAGCTTTCCCTAAAAAGCATATTACTAGTGACTTCTTGTCAAGGGTGTGCCCAATGTTTTGTTTTGTTTTATTTTCTGTAAGTCATATTCAGTGCATACAAGTTCTGCTGTTGTAATAGCCCTATATTGCTAGTGTTGGGGAATAAGTGGCTGAGTGTCATTTTGACTTTACTTTGCAGAAAGCTTATGAAGCAGAGGACGAGCCAGTGGACGCAGGGACAGAAGCTTGGGCTTATGAAAACGCCCCAAAACCCAAGGTGAGAGCTAGCTCCTCCTGATTAGCCGAATGATGTTTTTTTAATTACCATAGCATTTATTCACACTTCCCTCACTTTTTCTTTTTGCGGTCGGCGTTCGCGCCACCATGAAGTCCCGTATAGAGTCTAAATCGTAACATCGTCCTGCCTGTTTTATTTGGGAGTGAAAGCGTGTGTGCGCCGATGATCGAGGCCCAAGCTTAGAGCAAACACGTGGGCCTCGTGCGGAAAGCCCGTGAGTGGTTGGGTTGAGGGGCTACTGGGTGGCTTTGGCAGGAACTCGGCAGCTTGCTTAGCTGAGCGCACTTCATTTCAACAGGCACCAGTCGCCGTCTCATACCTTTCATGCACGCTATTCTCACCAATCGGTTTGTGATGAAGTAATAGACAGCAGGAAGCTCGCTGCAGTAGTCACGTTTCCTTACGCTTTCGTTTATTGAGTTAAGTCAGGTAGAATACTTAGAGATTCAGCTGCTAAAGGTACTTCCTTATTTCAGTTTGTTGCTATCGCAAGAACTGCTTCGCCGTTCCAGTGAAACGTCAACATTAAAAAAATTAAAATCGAGATTGTCAGAAAGAACGGTGCAGGCGTCTTTTATTGCTGCCCAATTACTTGATCTTTGCTGAAGCTCTGATCCTCACGATAGACACGTATATCGCCATGAAGGAACTGTTGAACTTACCACTTTTAGGTAGTTGCCCTTCTAAATTAATCGATTCTTATCAATTCTGGAATCAGCCGTGTCCAGATAAAAGTTGGACCAGGGGACCGAGCCAAAGCTATGTGTTTGGATGTCTAAAGTTTACCGCGCGGAGGAGATGAGTAGGATGGGTTCGTTTGTAGGTTGACCTAACAAAACTCGTTGCTAGGCTAGTTTTTTTTTTCGTCTTTATAAAAAGTATTCGACAGCTTATATGCCACACCCAACTTCTCTGTGCGCGGCAATCTTGCGCGGCGATCTTGCTACTTCTGTTCAGAAAAGCAAGTTCACTTACAGCATTATTCACATAAAAACAGCGCCAATAACGAGAGACAAGAAAACAAGGAGACAGACAGTGGCACTGACTTAAAAAAAGATTTATTTGCTGGAACCGCGCAATACAAACTTGATCAGCATCTGACAAATAAGAGGAAACCTAACAACCGAGTAATCATCGTGATAACGGGCCATAAACAACATGTGTGCCAACATTTTGAAGAAAATCTATTTCTTTTTGGGATAGAGCAATCGAAGGCCTGCTGACACATAGATTGCCCAGCCTTTCATTTTCTGCCGCCTCATAAATTTCGTGTATAGTCTGATTCCGATAAAGTCTAATGACCGTACAATGCTGAAAGTCGGGGACACAACCGTAGTCCCGGCAATGAATGTCGAGGTGGTCCGATACTGTATAGAAGAGACATTGTGAGCGTGATCTTTCAGCCGCTAATTTAAACACCTGCCTCTTTGGCCGATGTACCACTTCCTACGGGACAGGGGTAGAGAATACACCACTCCTTCGATGAATGGAACGTACTTGTTCCGATGCTTGATTTTGCAGCCTCACTCTCTCCTGGAACCATGATATATGGCCTTGCACAGCCTAGCCAGCTTTTCTGGGGCAGAAAAAAACTAAATCTATGTCGCACCTGCTGGCCACTTCTTTGAGGTTGTGGATGACGCCGTGGATATAGGGAATATACGACAAAATTTCGTTTGTCCCGTTCCTTATCCCTTGTGCAGGTTCGAGCACTAGTCTCTGGGCTCATTCTGATTTCTCGGAGTAGACACTCAGTAACGACGGTCAAAACATACATCGGAAAACCAGCCTCAGTAAGGCGTCATCGGCCAAACAGGCAGGTGTTTAAAGGATCGGCTGAAAGAGCGCGCTCACAATATCTCTTCTACAGTATCGCGCCACCTCGGCATCAATTGCTGGGACTGCGGTGTTGTCCCCGACTTTCCGCGTTGTACGATCATTAGGCATTATAGGGATCAGATGATGCGCTAAATATATGAGGCCACAGAAATGGAAAGGCTGGGAAATCTATGTGTCAGCAGGCCTTCTATTGCTCTATTCCAAAAAAAAAAATCGAATTTCTTCAAAATGTGGGCGCACGTGTTGTTCATGGCGCGTTATCGCGATGATTACTCGGTTGTTAGGTGATTACTGTTTTCTTTGGTTTGTCATTCCTCTTATTTGTCAGATACTGATCAAGTTGGTATTGCGCGGTTACAGCAAATTGTAAGTCAGTGCCACTGTCTGTTTCCTTGTTTTTTGTCCCTCGTTATTGGCGCTGTTTTTATGGGAATAATGTCGTACCAACTCACCTAAACAACCGCGTTAGCCACTTACAGCATAATGTAAGATATATCGGATCTGGGCACGGGAGGATCTAAAGGGCGTCCGGATGTTCTGACTTTCTCCCCTTCCCCAACCCCGAGTTTTGAATGTATACTCCCAAGAAGAGGACCTGCCAATACCTTTTAAAAGCTGACACTTTTCGGGAAAAATACTGCCTCCACCCGTGACAAATGTGTAGACCCAGCCCAAGCTGTATCGTCACGAATGTTTTCAAATGGTTCCTTCGCGTTGCCCTCAAACTGACATTATAGTAGCGCCATGATAGTAGCGTCAGCCAGCGAAAAAGCGGCATAACATTCAAGTGGGGAGTAGAACAAAATCCCTGACCAGACTAATCGCATATCGGGCTCAGGACCGGCACGAATCTATCCGCTTTGCAAGCAGGGCCGCCGTGGTCTTGTGGAACTTTCTCGCGGAATGCATTCGAAAGGCGTGCCCAAGGTGTGCATTTTTACACGTAGTCGTGCAATTGCAATGGTGGTTTGGTGAAGGGACGCAGCCATGTCATTTTATTCATTGCGCAAGTGAAACCTCAGTGATACGAATCTCGCGGGGTGACCGAAAAAATTCGTGTCGTCCGAAGTCCGTATCGCACGAAAATAAGGAAAATTAGCATGCGACAAAAAAAAAAAAGGCTGGCGCGCGTTTTCATTCATTGTTTCTCAGGACCGCAGCGACGTCACGAAAAGGTCTGAGTGATTGCGAGTGAAGTATTTCGACATTATTGTACAGGGATGTAGCCAGGGAAAGACATTCCGGGCCCGTGTCTCTTTCTCCCTTGCACTCGGAAATATACGGCCTGTACGCGCGTATGTAATGAATGCGCCAGGGGTGTGAGCCGTGAAGAGCAGTGGCCCCGTGCTGATCCGTGTACGCCGTTTCGCATGACACTAAAGTACTGTTGCGAAGGTGACTTAAAAAGCACCTTGCACATGTTAGATGTACGTCATTTTGGAACCGCTGTCCTTTGTTGTTTTCTTATCGCGGTGGTGTTCGGGCTGCGCTTCGGTCATGCTCACACAATTGAAGAGTGTGCAGCTTTGTGCGTTCCCAACAATCATGCATATTTAGGTTGTCAGGCCTAGCTTCTTCGCCAAGACCATCAGCTTCCTTGTTCGGGCCTAGTGCACCTTTCATAGGACGTGTGATGTGAGAGGACATGGCTTCTATGAACGTGTAAGCACAGTACAACATGAGCAGCACGCGTCAACGTCCTTAAAAATAAAAGGCAATGCACCAGCACCCCCCCCCCCCCCTGTAATTAGAAAAACAGAACTATGTGCGCACGGGCCTCCACGATCGGTGCCCACAATCTCGGAGGCTTCAACGCGTGGCGGCGCGTTGGACACGCTCGAGCTTGAGTTCCTGCACCCGTGCGGGTTTGTGACGTCTACCGCGACTGCGCGGGCAGTACCTGTTCGTACCTGTGCGGCATAGTACATTTGTATCAAACATTGCGGGGTGAAGACTGGTTCGCAACACCCGTATTCAATTACATTGCAGACCAATAGGCCTTGACTATGACCAAAGAAAAATTCGTGTCACCGCGAAATTTGTACGAACCGTGATTGTATCACCAAGGTTTCACTGTGAATGGTGGGCTGAAAACAACGCCAGAGCAGCCCATGCCTTTGAGAAAGGATTGTCGCGTCGGACACATAACTGGAGAGTCATCTTGTCCATGGATTGACTTTGTTGGTGTTTCAGAATAGTGGAAGTAAATCTGTATGTTACTAGGAAGGTTATAGTTGCTCTTTGTGAATTAACCATCTACAATATGCCCTATGCAATAACTCCAAAATGGGGGTCAACAGTATTAAAAAAACAATAAAAAAATTCCGGGACATACATGTTTGCACAACTTGTGTGGAACAATGTTAAGGACTGAGCAAAAAACCAAGCCCGTGTCCACCCCAAACACGCGTCCAGCCTTAAGCTTGGAGCATCAGACCCGAGCCCGGCCCGGGTCCACCGTGAAAGCTATTTTATCCTGCTTGGCCCACGGGTCGGGCCAGTCCCGCGTCATCAGGTAGGCCTGGGCCCATGCATTGCTCTAGTTCAGAACACGTTTGTTCTGCTTTCATTCTTTACTCACGATCAGTGCTCCCCAAACCATGGTGTGTACTGAATTGTATGGTTCGCCATTCTTTTCATTATACTTTGCAGACAACTGAAATAGCAGCGGGTGAACCAGCTGGCGCGGCGGCTGCAGTTCGGGGTTATGAAAACGCCACAAAAGTTCAGGTGAGAGCGAACTTCTCCTCATACACAGTATTACCTTAACTTCCTTTATAGTTAAAGTGATTGACGAAAATGATAACGTTCATAACTTATGAAGCAGTAATCAGGTGATTTATGTATGAGTTGTGATCAGTGAAAGCCAGCACTTACGGCATAGTACATTCAAGTAGTTGTCAAACTGTCATTAAATGCATTTCTTTTAGGGACAATTCGCATGGGCGCACGCCACACGTGAAATCTCGTATGGCAAGAGCCAAAAAGGAAGAACAACAAAACATGTAAAGAATTTTTATAAGACACATATAACGTACTCAAAGGATATTTGGGTGAAGATGCAATAATAGCTTTCCACGCTTATTGTAACATACGCAACAATAAAATAATTTTCTGTTACCAACTACTCTGGTGGCATGTCTAATGACAGAGCACCACATTCTAACAGTATATGAGTAGATTGCGCAACGTTAGTCGGGATACCTTAATAGAGAAAAAAAAATTGCATTCACCCACTTCAGCGTCTTTCAGTACCGACCTGTTTTTCTGCTCGAACAGATGACTAACGTCCTTGTTCTCGAATATACGGTGTGTACTGTGCACCCACATTTGACATACAGGTGATCTTGTACAAACAAAGCATGTATTACTCCATTTTAATGAGCATTCAATAAATTAACAGAGTTCAAATTATAATTTTCTTAATACTAGAAATTTGAGCGAGTTGATATGCAGTTATCTTGGTTGATACAGCACACACGAGACGACGACAAAGAAAAAGAAACACAAAAAGGCACTGTCAAAATTGTCAAATTGCCGATAAGGCGTTGCATTAAAAAGGAATACGTGAACTTGACAACTGAGTTGGCGAAAATCAGTCATACGGGTTAAAAGACGCTGTCAAATGCTATGATGTTTTATCTAAATATATGCAGTCTGTGTGGCCTCCTTGAACGGGGGCCTTAATGCGTTCGGGTGTGTTGGGCGTAGAAGAAGTTAAGACCGGATTTCCGGGGCAGCGACGCCCTTGGGGCCTATTATACGCAGCTACTGCTTTTCGTGCCGCTGCAAGACAAGCTGCGAAAAGATTTATATACGGTGACAGAAATCGCAAATGCTGCTGTGAACGTTTTCTACTGTGTGCATTCGATGCTGTGCAGATGTTTGCATATGGTCTTTACGGATTACGAAAGGACAAACTCTCGCATCCTTTTTCATAAATATAGTGTGTGTGCATCGAGCTGCAAAGAAATGCATTGTCTCTGGTGTGTTATTGATAAAATTACCTTTTTTCTTTTTTCCTTCTCTTCTTCTCGAACAACTTCTAGTGGGCTTGTTTGATTCGGCTGCTCTCTCATCACATTGTACTATTTCTGGTCACGTATATACAAGCCACAATCTTTTAGCGGGTTTTGTTTGTCGATCGCAGTACCCGCAAAGGAGGGAGGGAGGGAGGGAGTATCAGCGACAGCATCCAAATAATTCAGCATTAAGTCGAATAAATGTTCGCAACTTCACAACCGCAACGAATTGAAAAGTGAGAGAATCAACTTCATATGATAATCAGCGTAAATTACTGGCTGGTGGACAATAATTAATTCCTCCTGTTCGCATAATGTGCGGTCACTGCTTCATTTAAGCTGGATGCATGTAGGGTATGCATAGCCGGGGCTTCAGAATCGGATTGTCTTTATTCTCGAACATATTTGTTCGGGGTCTTCCAGGCGAAAAGCTGCAGCATGCGCATTCAATGAGCACCAAGGCGGGCAGCCGTAACTTTTCTAGCACGGCGTAACTTATGTTATACTGCCCAAGTCTCTTTCTGTGAACTCAATATAGGAACAGTGCAACCTAGAAGTAGTTACTATGTAACTGCGGAAGTGAAAAAAAAAAACAAGGACAGAAAAAAGCGCTGACTTTCAACAAAGATTTTATATCGGAGTAAAGCACATATATAATCGAAAAAAAGAAGAAAACGGGCATGCGTACAAGGGTGCAGGTAACAACCACTACAATACAATGTCAGCAAAACTCTCGTCTTTTGTTGAATGAGCTGTAAGAGGTTTTTAAAATGCTTTCCACTTCAAGAGGTTTTTAAAAACTAAATGCAGATGTTTTCTATTTCAGTGAAAGGGAACATATTCGACATACATCTGTCTAGCTGGGTGAAAATTGATACAAACAAAACACTTTCCAGCCACTTATAGTCCAAAGGCCCCAACTTTAATAAAAATTAAAAACTATAAACAGACCCGACGTTTCAGGGCCGATTTGGTCCCTTCTTCAGGGGTGACTGTTCGGCCGGCTCTGAAGCTGTAGCGACTTTTCTTTTTCCCCTTCATTATTCCTTTTCCCGCCATTCTTGTTGCTGCTGTGTTTTCTCCGCTGGTTCCATAGACCGTGCCTGTAAACGTTTGGTAACATTGCAGTTAAGTGGTTCATGTTTCCAGGTGTTGTTTGGATATGCCAGGACTCTAACAACTGCCTTTTTGTGTGGCTACCTTCCGTGTCGATGACCCGGACAGCGTCGAAATTGATGCGGTGGTCCATCTTTTCACTATTTTCGACAAAAGCGTTTAGTGCAGCGTTGAAGGTACGCCACATCGTTCGGGCTAACTAAGAACTATGGAATAAATGTGGCTGGAGAGGTTTTTACTCATATTTAAGCGAAATATTTATTGAATCTCTTATTCGCAAAGTATAGGGGTGAAAATTGAATCACATAATGGTGAGACCATATGTGTTGCCAGTGGCTATACGATGCACCTTTGTTCATAAATGCGCGGCCTCTGTGCTGCATCTGTGCGCAGCGTGGCGGCCATGCTTTATTAAAACGCGCCGAATATTGGAGGTATTACTTCATCGAATAAATCTGTAAGGAAGTGAGGTACAGATTATGCAGATTCCGTGACTCAGTGGTGTATCTGACTTGTTTGCAGATTGAGGTGTTCCCTGATGATTGACGGCGCCAGGCCGGACACGTTGGCTGGACACGGAATTTGCATAATCTGCAATAAAGGCTTCTTCTAAAGCTTTTTCTGCATCTGTCTGATTCTACGTAATTAAATACTCTTTCTAGATTGTCCCTGCTGTTAGACTACGTACTTCCAATTCAAGCGTGGCATAAATAATCGCACGCATAATGAAAAAAAAGAAATGTTTACACTAGCCATGTAAAGGTTAAACAGTGAAGCTTGTCGATATCAGGGGCTCAACGTGGCCTTCTTGGTTGATGTTGGGTCATTCCTTGGCGTCCGGTCACAGACCATGCAAGAATGTCGAACTCCTACGCCAGAAGCTTGCGTGCAAACCTGCGGCTATGGCAACCCCGGCCGAATCTCGGGCTTTTCATCGCTCGTACTCGACTCGCGCCAGGCCGGGCGAACTCGGCACGACGGCTACGCGGGCTGTCTGTATTGGCGGGTGTGGCTTCACTGCCGCTGCTTCTTGGCGCTTGCGCAGTTAAGCAAGGTTAAATCCACGTGGTAAACAGCTGGGTCTTCGTTATTGATGCGCGACGGCATGAAGTGTTCTTTCTTAACTGGCTGTGCACGTTTTACTTCCAGCTTTAGGAGCTTCTTTCTGAAAGATTCAGGAGCCCTTGCCCTATCAGGGAAATTAAGGTGAAGTGAAGCTTTCCTTCTGCGTGCCTGATGTATACCCTTTCTTTCTTTCTTTCTTTCTTTCTTTCTTTCTTTCTTCTTTCTTTCTTTCTTTCTTTCTTTCTTTCTTTCTTTCTTTCTTTCTTTCTTTGTTTCTTTGTTTCTTTGTTTCTTTGTTTCTTTGTTTCTTTCTTTGTTTCTTTGTTTCTTTGTTTCTTTGTTTCTTCGTTTCTTTCTTTCTTTCTTTCTTCCTTTCTTTTGTTCTTTCTTTCTTTCTTTCGTTCTATCTTTCGTTCTTTCTTTCTTTCTTTCTTTCTTTTGCATTCACGCAATGCTCCCTCCGGTTTCTTTCCTCCAGGTCAAAAGTCGGACCCTTCGTCCTCGTGCTTAGTAAGGCTACACTTCAGCTTTGCTTAAGGCATCAACGACGGTCATCCGTTCATATCCAGGCAACAAGAAATTTGGCAAAGTGAAATTGCAATACAAATTATTGACATTTCAGTAATGACTAATCGCCGACAAACAATCCTTAGAGCATCAAATATTGGAAAACGTCTGATGGCGCTACCGAAATGCACGTGAAACCCGTCTGAAATGTTCAGCCTAACTTTTCACATTTCATACACTTGTACCATATACATGCCCTCTTGAGGCAATTAACAAGATCAATTTTACATTTAAGTTTGTTTTTCAGTTGCTACAAGTCGGCTGCTAAGCAAGTTGCTTTAGAGGGCCTTTCTACACGAGATATTTTAATCAAGCCAATGTTAACTCGAATACGTGACATAACACCGCTCCAAATTACTCCATGTCTAGAAACAGGCCCAGCTTCACGCAAATATGAAACAGCCTTCATGTTCAATCCTTTGAGATGGTTTCGTATGAACGGTATACACATCTCCTAGAGCTACTTATTTAAAAAATGAAATACCAAATCCTATAAATTAAAGCTACGAAGGAGGAAGAGGCTGTATAGACCTCGTAGGCCCGGGTATTTAATTGCGTAAACCGTTTTAAACATGACTCGTAGAAGGGGCAAATATAGGGTAGAAGAAGTTTGTAAAGCATCAAATGTTCTCGCATTTAACGACGTGAAGTCACACCGCGGTGTCGATTCGTACTTGAGATGTCACGGTGCTGAGCTCAAATGCGTGGTCAAAAATAATGCGGCGACCCCCACTATGGGGCGTGTGCCTCGTAATCATAATGTCGTTTCGTCACTTAAAACTACACAATTTCATTACATTTGAACATATGTATGACCTGCGTATTCCACGTAAAATACGCGGAATACGCTGGACAAACTTTTGTCGGAAGACCAGACTCTCACAGAGATGCAACTTGTAGTCTATAGAACGTAACGCAAGCATTCTTTTAACCGCCAAAAGTTTATGAATAAGCCTTAGTCACCGTGCGTGGTTAAATGCTCACTGTAAAGGTCGATACTTTCATAAATGCTTAACATTGAGTAGTAAATGGCCATTCTTTTCAACGTCCCCATTATAGGGAGACCCTTGTGACGCTTGCAATGGCGCCAAGCCTGATCACGTCGCTGCAGAGTGCGAGCACGTTTTATGCAAGTAAGTGCCTTTCGGAAATTGGTGTACACGTACTGATTCCAGTCGAGATATATATATATATATATATATATATATATATATATATATATATATATATATATATATATATATATATATATATATATACAGAAAATGCTGGATTCTGCCTTCTGCCGCCCATCCCAAACAGTGACGTGGCGGAGACTGATTGTGGGAGAATCGGGGTTGTCGGGGTGCAAGTGGTGGTACAGTTTATAGTTGTTTACGGAGAGAGCAAAACCAAAACACACCACAGCTAACGCACCCAACGCTCGCTACGGCGCTCGCAACACGTTGCAATGAGGATTTCTTTTTTCTTTGTGCATTCCGTTCGGCACTGAATAGATTTAGTAATTAAAGACAACCCGAAACACATGGTAGTTGCTCTTGCGCGCTGCATTCACGAAAAAAATATTATACCCTACAGACCCTTCTATAAAACCACCATCCTCTTTCAAAAATATCGTTGCAACCCCTTACTGACTGTGGCTTAAGGACTGTTGCGTACGATGCGCAAGCAGTAATAACTGTCAGCTGTAACGCAGGAGGTTACGAGCACACCAATGACAAATTTTAGTGCACAGCGAAGAGTTACTCAAGTGAAATTGACGCTGAACTGGCCTTAATACCGTATTCCAAAATCTTCCTCAGTGAATTTTCACGCAGAGTGACATGTGTCGATGCCGATTATGACGTTTCGTACTTCTGTGCGGTGTATAACGTGCGCCTGGTCTTCAGAGGCCTGGTAACTTATTAATCAACATTAAATGTGCTGCTTTTCCTGTTTTCCAAGAAAATGCATCCAAAGGGCCGTGGAAAACGCCACAGTCTACGGGTCCATAATGTGCCCTGTAGTCGCCGACTCGTCGCAGCAGTGTTCAGGTCGTATTATGGATGACGTATACAAAAAGGTACGCACAATAAACAAAATTTGGCACTTATTGTTGCTCCACGTGTCCAGATTTCATCAAGAAATGTTTCGTGGGAATAAAATTATGTCGTGACTTTGTAGTGCACAAATGCCTGGCTAATACGTCCAGTGGCAATTCTTATTTTATGGTGAAGACATATAGTAAACGTATAGCACAGAGTTCGCGTCATAGCGCACAAAAATTTAGTTCAGAATAAATGTTTGTGACGGCACAGGGACATTTAAATAATGTGTCACCAAGACCGAGCAATGCAATTTCACTTATTTTTCTGCTCATGCGCTAGTGTATCCCATGCTATGTTTGTGGTTTCAGCGTTTGCAAGCAAAGTAAATATATTGAAGTTACGTTGTAAACTAGATTAGCTTGATAGGGTTTTGATAGGGTTCATTGTATGGACATGCGCAACACGTGCACTGAGATTCGTTGTAGCTGATGGCGCAATGAAAGCACCCCACGCTAAACACGTTACTCATTTTGAAAATGGTCCCGATGCAATCGATGCTAACAGGATTCGAAACCCTGATCGCGCGCCCACTAAGGGCACGCCACATCTACCGGGGCAGATGAGGGCTGGAAGCATCGGTAATGTATTCAAATTCTGATCCCTGCATCATGATTTGATTCATTCAAATATAAACCGTGCAAAAAAAAACTGTCCGGAATTAAATAACACCACACACATGCGCCCATTCTTTCCGTCCTGTTTTTTTTTTTTTTTTTTTTTTGCGAAAACGAAGTTTTGTCAATTCGCTGTCATCGCTGTTCTGTTCGAATAGAAGTCAGCGCTGGTTCTGCTGTTCTGTGTGGTCTCGATTTCTGCTCCGTCTGTTCATTTGGCGCTAACAATGCCGCTTTCCCTAATGACAACCTGATGTATACGTAAAGTGCTTAGCAACTGAAGCCTAACAATCAGGCCGCAAAAAGGACTTTTTTGTGACAATAAAATACTTCGGTCCTGAGCGATTTCATTCGGAGATGCACTTCACGCCAATGCATTGGCTGACATGTTGACAGCTCGTAAAGAAAATCGACCACAACCAGGCAGTCACGTTTCACCCCCAGCATTCACCGGTGTTGTAAACGAGCGCCAGCCGCCATGTGGAGCGAGTAACTCGTTGCGGACGCGTGCGAACCGATGTAACGTAAGACATTCAACCATGCACTGCTAGCGAAGTGTTACCTGTCAGCCGATGCTACAGCGTCCCGGACTTTATCCTGCAGTCATTTGTACTTATCAGCCTCGAGCCACAACAAGAATGTTTAGAGTTCTCCTCTTTCAATGCGATTGGTGAAAACATCAAGTTAAGGACAGCGCTTGGCCCTGCCGCGGTGGTCTAGTGGCTAAGGTACTCGGCTGCTGACCCGCAGGTAGCGGGTTCAAATCCCGGCTGCGGCGGCTGCATTTTCGATGGAGGCGAAAATGCTGTAGGCCCGTGTACTCAGATTTGGGTGCACGTTAAAGAACCCCAGGTGGTCGAAATTTCCGGAGCCCTCCACTACGGCGTCTCTCATAATCATATGGTGGTTTTGCGACGTTAAACCCCACAAATCAATCAAATCAATACCCATGTAAGCATTTTATAACGAATTCGCGCAATCAGGGAACTTGCACATCAAATTTTCTTGATATGAACGGCCTATGTGTTTTTGATGCGGAGTTGCGGATTTGTAAATAACGTGTTTTGTTCAGTTAGGCATTCCAGTAACTAAAAATTAAGCCTGCCTCATATGCCCAACAATGCCCAACAGGCCCGTAAGAAATTTCCAGTAATTACAAAACAGAATTCTGTTTCGTGTAAGTTGTTGTAAGGTTTGCACATGGGCTAGTTGGTACATGTTGCTTTTAAGAGAAAAACAGCGCGAAGACTGCACACAAAAGTGGCACACAACACGAACGATCTTATTGCGTGCTTCTTTGTGTGTGTGTGTGTGTGTGTGTGTGTGTGTGTGTGTGTGTGTGTGTGTGTGTGTGTGTGTGTGTGTGTGTGTGTGTGTGTGTGTGTGTGTGTGTGTGTGTGTGTGTGTGTGTGTGTGTGTGTGTGTGTGTGTGTGTGTGTGTGTGTGTGTGTGTGTGTGTGTGTGTGTGTGCGTGCGTGCGTGCGTGCGTGCGTGCGTGTGCGTGTGCATGCGTGTGTGCGTGCGCAATCGTGAAGCTGGCCCCGCCGTGGTGGTCTAGTGGCTAAGGTACTCGGCTGCTGACCCGCACGTCATGGGATCAAATCCCGGCTGCGGCGGCCGCATTTCGATGGAGGCGAAAATGCTGTAGGCCCGTGTGCTCAGATTTGTGTGCACGTTAAAGAACCCTAGGTGGTCGAAATTTCCGGAGCCCTCCACTACGGCGTCTTTCATAATCATATGGTGGTTTTGGGACGTTAAACCCCACATATCTTCATCAATCGTGAAGCTGTCCTTTTCTTCGAAATTCTGTTTCATATATTCACTAGAATTTAACGTTTTTTCTGAGCTTTTTTTTCTAATTTGGTCTATTGTTTCTGTCAGAAAAACAGCCTATCTTAATTTCACTCATGCTTAAATAGGCAGATCTGCACTGTGGAACCAATGCGGAGAAGCTGGTGTCATGAATCAGTATCTGTGTCTCATCTATCCTGTGGTTTCTCCATAAATAACCGTTTAACTTGTTTCACCTTTATTCCAGGCGCGCTTCAAACGTTCAATGTGCCACTACCTTACGAAGTTTCTTGACTGATGCTTCACTGAAAGAGAAGCTCTGACATTTGCATTTTCAATGATACGAGTGTTTAAAAATATTTTTTTGTTTGTTGCTTTCAGTACGTTAGCCCAGGAGCCCTTAAACACATGGAAAACAAGAAGAACTGGTTGCCAGCTGAGTGTTTCCTAAAAACGTGTCCCAATCAAGGGAAGCGCGGTTCTCTACTTGTAAAAAGAGGAACAACATATTATGTCTGCCCACGCTGCCTCGTCCGGAACTGCTGGACGTGTCGAGCTATTCACTACAACATGACCTGCGAGGAATACATGGTGAAGCTTGTGGCCGACCTGGACGCAGGGAAGCTCGAAGTAGGTGCATTGTGGCCGAAGCGGCCTAAATTTGTCTCAGCAATGCGCCGGTTCTTATCGTTCACAGAGCGAGAAGCGGTGTGTAACGTTGCGCGTACAATCGGACGAACACAGGAAGTGAAGAGGCGTAAACGGAAAGAGCGCTCTTTCAGTTTACGCCTCTTTACTTCCTGTGTTCGTCCGATTGTACGCGCAATGTTACATACCACAGACATGCACCAGCTCGCCCAGCAAGAAGTTCTTAAAACGCGACAAGAGTTGCCGCGAAAACCTGTGTATGTTTTTCTTCGTGTGAACTGCACTCGCCAGCAAAAAAAAAAAAAGAAAAATAGCATACGTCTCACTTTGATTTGGAAATCATCGTACTCAATACACTCGTAGCTGTACAAAATCTCAGCCTCCGCATTTGCGGAACGCCAAGGAAGGCAAGTGGGTGCCTACAGGCTGCCGACTGATGCCAAGCCGCATGCTTGCTTGCCATCGCACATTTAGTTTACGCAGGGTACCTCAGTTAATGTTAAAAAGCAGAATTTAAAAAAAAAAGTTGATCAGGGGTGCTCCGATGTCTTTTTTTGTTTATTCGGAACTAACTTTAAGTGGACATGAATGAAACTCCTGTGTAATCGGCAAGTTGGTCCTTCCCATGTTTCACAATGTTTCACACTACTTCTTACATTACTAGTTCAGTTATATTGTACTGAAGATATTCAGGAACTGAACAAAATGATGGAGATTAAAAAAGTATCGTATTACATCAAAATCACATGATATCGAGGCATAAAACTTCCCTGAAATGCTTAAAGAAATTAAGCTGCTGTCAGATAATTTCTTCAACTTACAGCAGGGCGTTCAGCCTATACTCGCAGCTTAATATCACAATCCTCGACAAAAGCCTCAATGAACATTCGTTTAAACTTTTGTAAAATGTTTGTAGAACGCGGGCTTTCATTGCACCGTTTCTGGGCGTCTTGATTACAGGAAAGACAAATCTAGTTTCACGCATTTTTGCCCGTGTTTTTAGAAAAATCTGTCAACAGCCCGGAGACTTATTTCTTGGATGGTGTGTGCATGCATGGGTGATATTGAAGTGTCTTCACGCATATATATGTATATATATATATATATACACATCATGATATATATATATCAACAGATGCCGCGGACGAACAAACGAAAAACGATGCTTTATTGCCAACGTTACGGCCAGATACCGGCCTTTGCCAGGGCATATATCTGACGAAGACCGGTCCCCTGTATGCCCTAGATGACGAAGGCCTGTCCCCAGCCGTAACGTTGGCAATAAAGCATCGTTTTTCGTTTGCTCGTCTGCTTCATCTGATGATTTATAACTCGAATCCAGGAAGACTTTCAAGATATATATATATATATATATATATATATATATATATATATATATATATATATATATATATATATATATATATATATATATATATATATATATATATATATATATATATGTGTGTGTGTGTGTGTTTGTGTGTGTGTTTGTGTATGCATTTTTTCCCTTTTTCATCGCTAGGATCCTCGCGAGAAGGAAAAGCGATATCAGGAGCTGGTTTCCATTTACCAGCAAGACGTTGTGTCAACGACCAACGAATTTGAATGCTCCATTTGTTTCGCGGACGTGGAACCTGGTAAAGGAATTATTCTCAAGAATTGTCACCACAAGGTTTGCGAGTAAGTATACGTGTCGACTTGACACTTATGTGGACGTAAAGGTTGCTCTAAACAATATTGCACCGGCTGATCCTGGCAATTTGGTATGCGTAGTTCTTCCACGAGCTTCGGATACCTGGAAACAGTTATAAGAGGGGGAGGGGAATCGCATGCATGTCCGCAAAGTCATCGGGTCCGCTCTATTTGCCGTGATTTTGAAGCATCTGCAAACAATTAGGATCGCTTGGAGTAAAACATTCACTAACACCAAGCCCCATTACAAAAAAAAAATATCTCGTTCTCTTTTGAGGATAGCAAGGTTTGGAGCTCTCAAGTCGTTTGTTATACAGTGTGTCAATCGTTCATCTCAGGCCTGTAGCCAAGTAGGGATGCGCGCGACCTTCCCCGCCCCCCCCCCCCCCCCCCCAAAAAAAAAAAATTAGATGGAGGATGGTGATTGTTTATGTCGGGCCCGTACCGTAGCAGGTGGGGATGCCCTAAAAGCGCAACCCCCCCCCCCCCCCCTAAAAAAAATTCGAATGAAGGATGGTGTTTTACCAAAAATAAATAATAAAGGTATCAGCGTTTTTTTAAGACCTTCGACCAGTGCCCCCTCCCCCCAACACTGCAAAAATTCCTGGCTACGGGTGTGGTTCATGTATTTCAACCAATGACCAGGAACTGACCCTCCCTCCTTGCCCCCCCCCCCCCCAACCTACCATTACGAAAGTTTTACGAGCTGTCCAGAAATATATGGTGGGGTGTAAAGTTGCTGTAGTGGTTCATTTTTTATGACGCTTGGTGAAGCACTGCTCAGTACGATGCAGTGCTGAGAATAGAGCATGGCGAACTGTGCCTGGCGGATGAATTCATCATGCCCTGTCCCGAGTTCTGCATCGTATCGCATTGTTCCACCATGATTTTAAGTTGAATTACTGTACTTCGGAAGTACTGTACATACCTTAATGTGTCTGTGAGTTGACATATCATTATCGTTTGTGCTTCTTTTCGGCAAGTGATACGACGCAAGTGCATGCCACCGATATACTGCATCTTAAGTGCAGCGTTCTCGTGTGCTACCTATGTATGGAGAAGACCATTACAATAGCGCATGCCATGGCAGACGAGCAGTGTTCACCATCGGTTAAAACAAGTGCTGTCAGCAGCGATACAGTTAATAAAGAGTTGTTTATTGTGGTACATCATACCCCACATATATCAATTAATCGAAGAGTAGGCTAGCCGACCACTCATGTGTTGTAGAGGGTTCGACAGTCAACGCGCGGAATCAAAATCTCGCCCTAACGTAGCTGAACCAACAAAGCTCTGCTAAATGTTCGTGTTTCAGCCTGTTCGACATGTCACCAATGTTTTCCGTGCATGTATTTGTTTTGATAGCGGCCAGTGTTCCAACTTGTATTGCTTTTACAGCGGAGGGTGCGTGCTTGGGTAAATCGTGCAGACGCAGGTGAGACATACAATAGTGCATACAATACTGTTTGGGTGTGTCTTCAGACGACAGCGTCCACTTTAAATGACCACCTGAGCTCTATATTGTGAATGAATATACATGAAAGAGTAGCGTAAGTTCATTTTATTACTGTATTTAGAAGGATAAAAATGGGCTTAGAAGAAACTTAAGGAGACAGTACACGTTGTTGTGTTCATACAACCAAAGTTATTACCCGGAATGATACGTCCACGAAGAAAAAGAGGTAATGAAGGCGAAAACAATAAAGTACATAAACCATTGCCTCCGAGATTTCGGGCCCTTGGCGTGGTTCTGTCCGGTATTCCCAATCACCGCGCTCCCTAGCAAAACCAGCGAATCTCACCTAATGCGCCCGGCTACCGCTAGAGGGTGCGTTTAATGAGGGTTCCTCGAGCGGCGGAGACCATGGTAGAAAGCCGAGCGCGCGGGATTTCAGCGTGCGTATGTTTTTTTTTTTCCTCGCGTGCGAGCAAAAATCACCGACAAATCTTCTGCCTGCGCTGAAGGCAAGTATTGTTTTTCTGTTACTGCTTTTATTTTGGTCCCATTGGCGAATAAAGGCATAGTAACTGCTGAATTTTTCTTATATATATCATTGCAAAGAGTTATTATTTCGTCTGAGGCAGAATCATTCTAGTATTCCCCCTTTCTGGAGTCGCGTATATGGATGAAAAGTGGGCTAGTTATTGTCATTCAATCACATTGCTCTTCTATTGTTAGAGACTGTTTTACTATATTATCGCGTATCTATATTTATCAGGTGGGTGGTCAGCCGAATTACACTTCGCGGGTTCGAATCCCGGCTGCGGCGGCTGCATTTCTGATGGAGGCGGAAATGTTGTAGGCCCGTTTGCTCAGATTTGGGTGCACGTTAAAGAACCCCAGGTGGTCGAAATTTCCGGAGCCCTCCACTACGGCGTCTCTCATAATCATATGTTGGTTTTGAGACGTTAAGCCCCACATATCAATCAATCATCAATCAATCAGCCTAATTCCACTTACGCTCTAGATAACTAAGTGTCGTGATTGTGCCACCTATTATTGTGGTAAACAATTTTGTGGAATATTGAGAAAAACTAGGAGTAGCCGAGCTACATTTACTCCCCACGTCCTTCACGGTTAAAGTGCTTGAGTTATCATCGTCCTCTTTTTTTCGTCATCTGTCTTTTGATTATGTTTTGGTAGCCTGATGGCATTATCAGTGTCATGTTCATTTACAATAATCTATCTAGCACCCAAATCAAAGTGTCGCACATGCGGCCGAACGGCATCTTTCAGAAGACCAAGTATTCGTCGAGGTAGACTACTGAAGAATACGAAGTTTGAATTTTCACTGCTATGTAACGCGCATTGTTGCATACCATATACGCAAAACTCTGAACGCGTGCGGCATTCTCCTTCAACAAGCAAAACATATCGATGTTCGTTCTTACATTCCCCAACATATTCACTGGACACCATAAAACTCTCAGTGTGAATGGGCGACGATAAGTGACCAAAGCGCACCTGAAACCAGTCCGTGGTCGTCGCAGAGCCGGTGACTTTCAGACTAGACGTAGTCTAGACCTCCTCCCTGTTTCCTGCTTCTGCGACGTTATGGGAGGTAGTTGGAAACAGAAAGTGGGGAAGACTCGTGGGCGAGTGTGAAGCGTTGTACGCTTTGAGAGCGCGGCTTTCGAGCCAGACTTGACGGCGTCGGTAGAATGCGAGCAGTGAGCAAGACAGTTACTGATGCTGAGCGCCGAGTTTCGTCTGCTCAGCTACCGTTCCTCTCCAGCGGGTGTTATTTAGTCGTAAAGCACTCATGCTGCGGCGTTTGCGTGGTTACCTTGCGTACATGCGTCATTGAGAATCTGCATAAAGGAGGGAAAATTTTGGAGTGGAAGTCAAAATGAATGTTTCATTATAGTAGCCATTTATCAATTAAGTTGCCGATTGATTACAATTCATACAATTGATCCTATGTCAATGCTGCAGCTTTTTCCTGTTAGAGAAAGCGACGTCAGGTCTTGTTTCTTTCATTAATTTTCAAAAATATGTCATACTTAGGCGTGCCCTTCTGCACATGAGCCAGAAAAAAAAAAACTTGAGCACGAGACGCCAGCATGCGCAGTGGCGGTGTCAACGGCGTCACCGACGCTTGATTTGCGAGTAGGCGTGATTATAAAACGCTCCACATTTAGTAAAATTAGACAGCGCAGTCCACAAGCGAAATCAGAATGCCGCATTCGGTGCTCACGGTTTACACGCAAATAAATGAGTTCCTTTCTTGTTCCTTTCGTGGAACTACCCCTGAATAAAATTGGATGCTGTTTAAAGAATTATTACAGGCGCGCTGACGCGATTACAGCTGCGACGCGTAGCACGACGTGGTTTTGTTGCTTTCAAGAACGAAGCTTTTTACAGCACCACTTGGTCGGTCGTCCTTCAATCTAGCGTAGCCAGCCTATCCACGTAGTGAATGATATATGATGAGTGGGGCGAAGCGCCCGTTCATCCGATGCGTGCTGTAGTGTATGGGAGTCAACGGACGCATGCACGAACGAATTCACGGACGGACAGATGTATAGACGGACGCTTCACCTCACTAATCATTCACTCCGTGCATATGTTGTAATTTTGTTTATCAATCTCTAGCGTGCCAAACAGCGTTTTGCTTGTCGTTGAAGTCCCACTGAACGTGCCTCATCTTTAGCGAAGACCAGTTGTGGCAAGCACGGCTGGACGGCCAGCCTGCCAGCTTAAGAAGCGAAGAACGCTTCTAAGTAATCCATGGACGCAGTAATCTATAAAAAAGTAATCCTGGACGTAGAATTCTGCAGTCATCTGACCTCGCTTACGGATCGGACTTTCAACTTTCTTACCTCTTCGCCAGTGCCCCCCCCCCCCCCCCCCCCCCTTCTATACAGACCGAGAACTACGAAGTATAGTGTCGAGAACACGCAGATCTCTTACAAAGGCATCGCAATTTTAACTGCTCTAATATGGACTGCGCCAATCTACAGCAAAATAAAAACACTGTTTGAAAATAAAACGGCCAGCGTTGACTTCTCTTCTCGTACTCCTTGACCCAGCATTAACAAACGAACACAAAGCTATATAAAAGCACAAAACCATTTTTTTCTCGCCAAATAGAAGTTTCGCCAACAGCGCGGCAACCTTTTCGACCGAAAGAAAGAGCGCCGCGGTGCGGAGGAAAGAGCGGGCCACGCCCACCTCTGGAAACACGCGCTTTCCGTGCGATTGGGACCCGGCACGCGCCCGCAATCTCGGTGGCCACGCATAGACAAATCAAGAGAAGTGAGGAGTGGGGAAAGACAGGAAGGTTAAAAAGTTGAAAATTACTGATATGCTACCCTCCGCAGGTGAAAAGATAGAAGATTTTCAGTTACAGGTGCAAACAAAGACAAGAAGTGCACGCCACATTACGTCACAGTCGGTCACCTTTGTGCGGCATACGAAATCGCTGTTCAATCACGAAAAACACTATCAGTCTACGATGGCTTGCGCTCGCCTGTTATCTTAAAAAATTCACGTGTCTTCGCCTTCCGGTCATAGTCGAAGCTCTGATAGTTCTCAATGACACAATCAAAAACGAAGTTCGCATGAAAGCTGCCAGAACCAGACCCTCGCTGCAAATTGACACATTTACACTTACATTACAATTACTGCAAGCATCCCTTACGCTTTCCTTGGTATCATTGTCTTTTATTTTCCAATCACAGATTCTACCAAGCTAACAAGCAAATAATCACCACAAAATAAGCCCCCCCCCCCAAAAAAAAAATGTGGCACGACTTTCCAGAAGAAGCCCGAAAAAAGCGGGAATCGAATGAATTTTCTCATTCTCGAAAATGTTCTATTGCGCAAACAATTATATGGACACTCTCGGTTGGATTTCGCCACTGGCTTTGACGTCGGCATCACTCACTCACCGTATATGTATACGTATCCTATCTTCATATGCGAAAACGCAAGAAAGAAAAAAATCCACAAAAACACTCACGCGTGGAATAAAACTTGGGACCTCAGAAACGTGGGTAAGAGGGCTTAACCAACTGCTGGTGACGGGCATCTCGAGGGGCAACTATCATGTTTCAGCATTACCAGCAAGATGGCGCAATGAGAGTGCATCGCCACATCATCACGACGCAGCGGCGCGCGCTCTCATCTCCCACGCGTACTTAGCCCCGTGGAAAGGAGGGTGTGGCCGCTCAGTCGCGTGCCCTTATCTCGCAGTGGGGAGGATTGTACGTTTTGACTGGCCTCTGGCTTTCACCGGAACGATTCTGTTGTAGTTACCAGGCGCACAAAAGCTCACTGCAATCGTTGCACAGTCGCCGTTTGCGAAAAGAGCGCGATTTTCAGACACAGCAAAGTAACAACTGAGACGCTTATTCGCGTTCATTTGTACCTGTGAGTACGTTTCTTGTGTTATTTGGGCATTAGAAACGCGGGGCACGTTTCGATGCGCTTGCCATTCTGCGCGTGACCTTCGAATTTGCTGCTATCGCGTTCATTGCTTCGCCTTTGTGGCAAAACTATGACTTTTTTCATGATGACAAAAATGTCACTGAAGTGCGTAGGGGAGTTCAGAAAAAGCAATTTAATTATTTTGCACAGCGTGGATATTCGCAAAAACGCATAATAACTGTATCATTGTCTCAGGGATAGCCTCTATTCAGTTAATTCACATTTGCCAGTACATGATTAACGTTACTTGTTGGTTCAACGTTTGTTTGACTTCAACGTATGTTTGACCGACTCGCCAGTAGTGAGGGAAAAACGTCCTATGTAAACGAGATTATTCCTAATGCAACTATTTTTGCTTGAAAAATGCAAGAAAGCCCTAAAAAACGCAACAAGTGACCGGAAAATTCTACAGCCAACCCGATGAAGAAAAAACAAGCCCAAATCTGCTTATTATAAGCGAAAATCGCCCCTATGGTTGGTTCTCGTTATTATTGTATTTACTGCCTAAGAAGGAAAAACTAGCCCTAAAATGTCAAATTCTTTCCTTCATTCACAACGAGGGTCTCATTCTGGCAGACTTGATGCTTTCAGAAATAGTAGTTCGTCAGCTACCAACTCGTAATAAAATCATATGCTACGTGACGCCAGTAGGCCGAAAATAGTGTTCCACACTAGCCGTAATGGCTCCTGGTGGTGCTGACTGATCCCACGTTTAAATGTGCATATACATCCCATAAAGTGAACGGGGCGAGGGAAGGGAGGGGTTGACCGGTGCTGTAACTCAGGTGGTAGAACAAATGACGTGTTATTCGACGGTCGGAGGTTCAGTTCCTGCTACCCGCAAGTAATCTTTTCGTCCCCATTTCTTTCTTCCTATTTACGTTAACTAAATTGCTCCTATAATAGCATATCCAATATAATCATTGGCATCATTGTCTGTTAGCTCTAATTATATCCGTATAATGATCATTCTCGTCTTTTGGTATACGCAATGTTTTCAGACAATGCCTTGCCGACACTGCCAAGAATTCTGAGAAAGCGGAAGTTCAGTGCCCTTGCCTCGAAAACGGTCAACCCTGCCAAATGGCCGTTTTAGACAGCGACCTTAGGGCGGTAAGAAATACTTTGCTATAATGATTACTGCTCTCTGCAGCGCCATTTTTTTTTTAATTTAGGAGGGAGTAGAACGATAGGTCTAGTAACAGGAGAGGTTGGAGGCTGACCTCTCTCCTCCCTGTAATTACTCAGTTTATACACACATGCAGTAGGAAAGTTAAATCGGTCCACAGCACGTGTAAAAAAAACAACAGCTGGTACACGTACGAGAAAGCAGTTCTCTTATGCCAGACATCTCGGCTGTAGAGCTACCGAAACAAAATTATTGCTTTCTCGTGCGTGTACCACCAGGTTTGTTCATATATATATATATATATATATATATATATATATATATATATAGATATATATATATATATATATATATATATATATATATATATATATATATATATATATCCTCAGTGAGCGGTCACAACGTGGTTTATTTCGACGTTTCGGCCTAGAGTCTGGCCTTCATCAGGATTAAAGGTACAGTTTGTTGGTGCTCAGCTTTATACAATCTCAAATCAGAGGGAAAGGAAACAGGAAAAAGACGGAAAAAGAAAAAAGAAAAAAAAAGAAAAGGAAAAGAAGAAAAAATGAATATAAGGTGGACTCCCCTCGGGCGCCCTCCTTCCACTCTTCCTTCCACATCCCCCTTCATCTCTCTGCCCTTTCTCCCCTTCACCTTCCCGATGTCAGCGGTCTGTGTATGCTTCCTTTCACTAACGCATTCTTCCCGACCAGACGGTGCCTCCTGGCTCTGGCGGTTCGGTGTGGGGCAAAAAAGAGCTTTTTTGAAAGTTGTAAGCCTTTAACTACTCGGAGCCCCGTCAACATTTCGTCGTAGAAAGAGGGGTGCCGCGTATTGCGGCAGAGGCTGGTAAGCGGGCGCAATGCGAATTCCTTGCCGTAGGGGCCTCCCGGCTGTGCACAGGGTTGCTGTTAGGCATTTCATGCATGTACCCCGCCGCGGTGGTCTAGTGGCTAAGGTACTCGGCTGCTGACCCGCCGGGCGCGGGTTCGAATCCCGGCTGCGGCGGCTGTATTTCTGATGGAGGCGGAAATGTTGTAGGCCCATCTGCTCAGATTTGGGTGCACGTTAAAGAACCCCAGGTGGTCTAAATTTCCGGAGCCCTCCACTACGGCGTCTCTCATAATCATATAGTGGTTTTGGGACGTTAAACCACACATATCAATCAAGCATGTCATGCATGGCACAATAGATTAGGTAGTAAAATAAAACAAAACAGACGACAGCTGTACTTAGGAAGAGTAGTTACACTTGGGATTGTTTCGAGTTGTCCAGTACCCTTCGCAGCTGCAGTGCCGTGAACTCAGTTACTATTTTCATTATTGCCGTTATTGTTTTCTAATGCTTTAACTGCTGCAAGTGTACCAGGACTCTCAATTATTCCTCTATCGAGGGTGTTAAATCGGTGGATAAGGTATGGCTCTTGTTGTTCACGTTCTCAATTTGATTTAAATCCCGTCTCTAAGAGCGTTACTGATAGTTTGTCGAATGCATGGTCTGGAAGATTGAGACGTTTTGATAGAGGTAGACTTGGGGCTGATTTCGCATGGGCTCTGTGGTTATTGAAACGAATCCTAAATGGTGTTTCTGTTTGTCCGATGTACCGCATACCACACGTTGCATTCGAGTAGGTATACCACATTAGTGGAATCGCATGTTAGGTTTCCTCATATGTTAATCGAAAAATTGGATTGTGTGCTGGTCGCTTTGTGTGTTTCTCGCATCGCCTTACATACAAGACATCGTGGCTTTAAACAAGGTCGGCATGGATTATTGAGGGGTGATGTGTTAATTTGAGAGTGGACAAGTGTGTCTTTGAGGTTACGTAGTCGTCGGTAAACGACGCCTGGAGCGGATGGGAATGCGCGTTTCAAATACTCACTTTGTTCCAGAATGTTGTAATGTCATTTAAGGATTTTGCTTACATTGGGGAAGTTTGTGCTGTAAGTCAAGCAGAGGTTTGTTCATTGTGGGTCTTCTTGCGGTGGTCGCTTCATAAGTAAGTCTTCACGCTTTAGTTTTCTCGCTTTTTGAACAACGTCATTAATTACACGTGGGGGGTATTTTTGTTTCTCGAGCATAAGTTTTAGCCTCTGTGAGCTCGTGTCAAAGTTAGCGTCTCTAGAGCAGATTCGCTTAAACCGGTGAGCCTGGCTGTATGGAATACTGTTTTTACAGTGGCGTGGGTGATCGCTTTGGTAATGGAGGTATTGTTGTCGATCCGTTGGTTTGCGATATAGGGTTGTAGAGAGCTTCTCTTCTTCCATCGTTATGGTAACATCAAGAAAATTTACGGTCACTTGCGAGTATGTGTGTGTGAAGTGTGTGTTCGGATGTACAGCATTGTAAGTGTCGATAAAGCTGAGAAGTTCGTCCTCGCTGTGGGTCTAAATAAGAAAGATGTCGTCTATGTATTTTCTGTATAACATTGGTTTCAAAGAACTTTGTGCAAGAAATTCCGATTCTAGCTTTCTCATAAATATGTTGGCATAACTAGGTGCCATTTTGGTGCCCATAGCAGTCCTGCTGATTTGTGAAAAATACTCTTGGTTAAACTCGAATGAATTTAATTCGAGGACCATCCTCGTCAGAGTTGCGATGGCAGAGAAATCTGGGGTGTTAGATATAAGTATCGTGCGCTAGCCAATTGCGCCACTGGGGAACACTGGGGTGTTAGATTGTCTATGGTTTGTGTACATGTTTTGTAATGCAGCTATGCCGTCATCGTGAGGAATATTTGTATACAATGAAGAGACATCGAGAGTAACCAAGTACGAGTTTTTCGGCACACACAGACCTGCAATGACTCGAAGAAAATGGGTGGTGTCTTTTATGTACGACGCGAGGGTGCATGGAATGTGGCTTATTAGTTTGTCCACGTACCCTGATATGGGTTCAGTTATTGTACGGATGCCTGATATGATTGGTCGACCTGGGTTACCGGGTTTATGAATTTTTGGAAGGATGTAGAAGCGACCTGGACGAGGGTATGCTGCTCGCATCAGTTTGTGGTCAGTGTTGGTTATCTTTTCTGCATCCAATACTTTCTTTAGTTCTGTTGATACGATACGTTTGTATTCGTCTGTCGGATCACCTGGGAGGCGTTCGTAAAATCTTGAGTCGTCTAGTTGGCGGTATGCTTCTTGTAAGTAGTTGGTTGTATTAAGGACTACAATTGCTCCTCCTTTGTCAGCGGGTTTGATTGTTATGTCTGTCCTAAATGCCAAATTTCTCATACTTATTTTTTTCAGATTTTGTCAAGTTTTCTCGGTTTCTTTTCTGTCTGTGGTATTCGTGTACTATATCTTTCTGTACTGCGGTGATATAAAGGTACAAGCACTTGTCTCGATTACTGTTCGGTGTCTAATCATTTGATTTACGACGGTGAATTGTTTCGTGGTTAGAAGGCCTGTCCAAAAAAATATTCGCGCAACCTTAAGCTTCGAGCGAAGTGGTCGAGGTCTCGGAGCAAGTGGAATTCATCGAAAAATCTTGTGGTCGGCAGAAGCTTAGTCCCTTAGATAGCAGTTTTTCTTCGTCAGGTGGGAAGCTCGTGTCCGATAGGTTTACAACCACAGTGTCACAGGGTGTGTTCCTAGATGGGTGCTCGTTTGTACCGTTAGTGGTTTCCTGGATGGTGGTGTTGTAGTGATAAGGAACTATATCAGGGAACACGGGTTTGGGCACATGGTCTCGTTTGAGTTTATGAATTTTTGTGGGCATGATTGTTTAGTATTTATTCTGTTCAAATTCTGTTAATCGGGTGATTTCTTCGTTCGATAAAGTGTTGTGGCGGAGAATGGTGCTGGTCATAGCGACCAGTTTCTTTACCTGCTTATCACTGTAATTAAGAGCGATTTCTGTTAATTTAAGAGATGCCTCAAGGAGGACATTTTTTCATGTTATTTGGTCGTGTTCATCTATATTTGTAGCGGCTGGTGTGAGGGAGACAGGTACTAGCAGTAAAGGTAAACCGCATGGTCTTTTGCTCTGCTGCTCTCGTAAGCTACGTATATGTGTTTAGACAAGTGTATACATGGATCCGGTGGTTAGGGTCTCGTATGTACTGGAGTAATGCCCGAATTCAATGCCTATTTAATTCTTATGTTTCGACCGGGCTCCGGCTTTCGTCCAGGAGGGAGAGTGTCATATCCTTGGGGGCTATTCTAGCATGAAGGTACACTTGCAATGTTGATTTATGCATTTCATGTCTAATTCGTTTGTCAGCAAGTTTTCGTACTTTAAGGAAAGTGGCACTGCAACTGGGAAGCGATGAGCTGGACTTACACTTCAGAAGTCAATCTTCTTTTGGGCGTGGGGATGGCACTGATGAGGTGCGCAGGTTGTAGTTATGTCCGGCAGGCCTTCGTCGTTGTAGGGAAGATTTCGGCGTTGGGCTCCCGGCGACCGTGTTCCTAAACTTCCTAAACATCCTCAAACTTCCTCAAACTTCCTAAACTTCCTAAAAAGCCCGCTTACCAGCCTCTGCCGTAATACGTGGCACCCCTCTTTCTACGACAAAATGTTGACGGGGCTCCGAGTAGTTAAAGGCTTATAACTTCCTAAAAAAGCTCTTTTTTGCCCCACACCGACCGCCAGAGCCAGGAGGCACCGTCTGGTCGGGAAGAATGCGTTAGTGAAAGGAAGCATACACAAACCGCTGACATCAGAAAGGTGAAGGGGAGAAAGGGGAAAGAGATGAGGGGGGAAGTTGATTGATATGTGGGGTTTAACGTCCCAAAACCACCATATTATTGAGAGACGCCGTAGTGGAGGGCTCCGGAAATTTCGACCACCTGGGGTTCTTTAACGTGCACCCAAATCTGAGCACACGGGCCTACAACATTTCCGCCTCCATCAGAAATGCAGCCGCTGCAGCCAGGATTCGAACCCGCGACCTGCGGGTCAGCAGCCGAGTACCTTAGCCACTAGACCACCGCGGCGGGGCATGAGGGGGGAAGTGGAAGGAAGAGTGGAAGGGGGGCGCCCGAGGGGAGTCCACCTTATATTCTTTTTTTCTTTTTTCTTCTTTTCCTTTGCTTCTTTTTTTCTTTTTTTCTTTTTTTTCCGTATTTTTCTTCTTTTTTTCCTCTGATTTGAGATTGTATAAAGCTGAGCACCAACAAACTGTACCTTTAATCCTGATGAAGGCCAGACTCTAGGCCGAAACGTTGAAATAAACCACGTTGTGACCGCTCACGGAGGATCTACTGGACTATATGCAACGCTACGGCCACTCAACCACCATGCCTGCCTATATATATATATATGCTAGTATGATGGGGTGGACGAACTACGAAAAAACGATGCACTTATTTCCAACACTTCAAGGAATCTCCTGGACGAAAGCCGGAGCCCGGTCGAAACATAAGAATTAAATAGGCATTGAATTCGTGCGTTACTCCAGTACATGCGAATACCTAACCACCGGATCCATGTATACACATATATAAACACATATACGTAGCTTACTAGAGCAGCAGAGCAAAAGACCATGCGGTTTACCTTTACTGCTAGTACATGTGTCTCCGCGTTCTGTGATCAATAACCGACGCTGATATGGAATTTTAGTTGCTATGCAGCTCAGAAAATTCCTCTTTGAAAAAGGTTGTCATGTTTTGCAGTGCCTGTCGAAAGAAGGATACGAGGCACTGCAAGTTCGCAGCCTGCGCGAGGCTGAGAACAGAAGCAAAGAGCCGGCGTTTCATTGCAAGACACCCGACTGTCGGGGCTGGTGCTTTCATGACCAGAATGTCGAGCTCTTCGAATGCCCCCTATGCAATAAGAACAACTGTCTCCGCTGCGAGGAAATTCACGAGGGCATGACATGCGCCCAATATCAGGCGGACCTCAAGCGAAGGGCCGATAATGATGCAGCGGCCAGAGCATCACTCAACTTTCTCGAGGTGAGCATACACCACAGCGTTTTCTTGTGATATTAACTAAGACCACTCCTAGCGAATATTGGCTGCCTGCGTTGCTGTGGTGTTCATTACTCGAAGTGTCATACGATGCCATCACACCCTGCTTTGGTACGCTGCGGAATCGAGGGAAAACGCGCGAGGGACCGACAGTGTTGGGGAAACGAGGTATGTTTTTGCAGGCCGAAGAGTACGTTTTCGCTACCCATGAGGAAGCACGGATCAGCACTGTTGCGGGGAGAGTAGTGAAGGAAGAGGGCGGAACGGAAAGCCCACGTTCTCGAAATAGTAGTATACCCACTACAACGAGCGTCAAGTCAAAGTACCTCTCTGTTCCCTTAAGAAAAACCGGTGTGTGTCGGTACAGATGGCCGCAATAAGCTACGTCTGTATACGTCAGTGCGCTTCTTGACAGTAAGTTCTTTTGTTTCTTGTTTTCTTTTAACGCGTGGCTCACTTTCGCTATGATCACGAGCGCGCTGGTACAACTCTATATAATGTAATTCAGCTACTATACAGCACGGCGCGGGTGCCATCACGATGTTCCTGGCAGGTATCATGTGGCTTTGAGTACATGACGCTGTTGAGTTGGGTATGTGACATCATTCGTCGAGAGAAGACCGAACAATTTGTGGGTGTCATTGAAATCTACCTAACTGAAATTTTCATTCCGCGTGCAGTGTTATATTTTTTGATCACATGTTAGCAGGGAAACCATTTTCTAACCATGTCCAAGAAGTGTTACCGGATCGCTTCAATCAGAGGCACTTTTAAGACCCGCACAGTGCAAGGTGAATCAAGCGGGAATGCTGCTGTCAACTGGCGTTTATTGAAACACCGTGTGGAAAAATACTTTAAAGTGGTCTCAGCTTAAACTTGTTGGTAATTTAGTTATTGAAAAAAAAGCACGAGAAAGTGAAAATGGCGAAGCCAGAAAAAAAATGAACTAGACCAAGCGCTGATTACAAATAAAATGGTTATTTTGCAAGAAAGAACATGAGAGCATAACAGAGCAGTGGAGGGAGGAGAGTTCGAAAAATACGCATGCATCCTACTTATATCAGTGAAGCGTTTAACTGCATAGATAATATCTTTGTCTGTTAATGCCTCGGACGGTGAACTCACTCAAAGCAGGCGCTATACGTCATGCATTCCAAAGGCTTCTCAAATTTCGCGTGAGCCGGTATCGTGGTAGCTGCTGGCGGCATGGGTCTGGCGGAAGTGCGAGCTGCAACCACACCTTGAGCAATGTTGAAATATTTACATACCGCGGTATACATAATTTGTGGTATATGCGTAGCTGCTTATGCGGCAGCTGTCGTAAACCATCAGTGAACAAACGCCATATTCCTTGCAATTAACTTGTAATTTTTCAGTCTCGATGGCTAATGTACAGAATTTCGCCTACGCTCCGTTCACCTGTTATTCTTACATCAGTCTTTCCGGACGACGTATTGTTACGCCGTCGTCACAGCGATAGTACACTGCTACAGACACTGCAAGACACAACGCGGGGCTGACATACAAATGACCTGTTACGAGAGCACAAGCAAAATGTTGCACTTTGCGTAATGAGCTGTGTACACGGTGCACATGTCCCATCTTTAAATAAGGAAACGGTGTTATGTGAACCGAATAGTGTACGCATTGTTCCCAGAGCATATTGGTTAGTAATAATGAATATTGAAACCCGACAATTACTTACCTAACAATCAAGATGTCAGTGAGGCGTATGTAGGCATTCTTAAGTGAGACCAAACTGTAGTGTTTTCAGCAACGTTAATTGTGTATAATTTTTCCGGCTGAAGAAGCAAGCCCGCAAAATATGAAATTACAACGAGACTAAACAAAACCGCACATCAGGAAGCAGCGCGCTCGAATATATAGGGTCACTCTGAGGTAGCCAGTATGGGGGAAGTATGCAAGAATAAAGGGTACAGAGAGAGAGAAAAAAGAAAGGTCGGGAGGTTAGCCAGATAATTGCATCCCCTTTACTACCGATAAGGGAGGGGGGCAAGAAAGAATGTGCAGATAGAAAAAGAGAGATAAAAGAGAGAAAAAAATTGGCAGATCCCACGTAGAGGGAGAATCGATGATATGCGAAGCACGAATGAGGAAGTTCGCTATGTCACTCACTTTAAAATCTGCACAACTTTACGAGGCAGACGAACATGTCATTATTATCATGTTTGGACGTGTCATTTACCTTCGCCATCGGTTCGTGTCACGTTATACGAAATTCAGTATACGTGAAGCTAGCGAAACGGGCGTGAGTTCATTATCAGCGTGGCACGTAGTCATGTTTTTACATGACACGCATGTCATGATTATCATGTTTGCACCAGTCATATACCTTCGTCATTCATTCACGTCACGTATTACCAAATTTGGTATATGTGAAGCTAACGAAACGACCATGAGCGTACCATGAGCGTACCATGAGCGTACCATGAGCGATGAGCGTGGCGTGTAGTCATAATTTACATGACATGCATGCCATGGTTTCCACGTTAGGACCTGTTACTTGTGTTCGCCATTCAGTCATTCAGTCATTCATTCAGTCAGAAACTACTGTCGCGATTACGATCCCCGTAACAATATCAATACCAGCTTTGCAATATGTCATGTGAACGAAACCACCGCTAGAGCAGCAAGACCATGACATGTAAATCAGGAGATTCATAACAAGTATCTCATGATTTTCATGATATGACTAGTCACTTATGCTCGCCATACGCTCATGTTACGCCATACCACTTTTGATATAGATCCCATTATCGAAACGACCGGGAGAGCCAAGAGTCTAGGCGGCTAGATGGATGGAAACTCGTTGGGAATGCATAGTTGCTGTGCACTATACTGTCGGCAGTCACAAAAGATAGGTCCAATGGTGTTTTCATTGTCACAGTGGTCACAGGATGCGGCGTCGGCCTTCACAATGAGGAAAGCGTAGGTGTTGGTAAACGCAACGTCCAACCACACCCTACACAAATGGTCACGTCTGCTCGGCAAAGCGAAGCCGAGCAGACGCGACCATTATCTGCCAGTCCCCGGCCGAAGAGCGCGTCACTTTGTCAGGCTGTGGTCCGAACAGCGCTCCGACCACGTTATCTATGAGATCAGGCGTGAGATATAGATAATTGTAATTGCGTTCAATATAGAGGGACGAAAGTGCAACACATGTCGCTTGCGCTTGTCCCGTACCATTGCCAAGGTTCGGCAGGGTCCAAGTGTTGGATGAGGCGAGTAGGAAGGAGCAGACAAGAGGCAACGCGGTTGTTTGCGGTGAGCTTATTTGAGGGCAATGCTTTCTCGTCTTTGTAGAAGTCACATGGAATTTTCCCATTTCAATGATTTACTTAATAACCGTATATTATGAAGCCGCAATTGCAATTTTCCTGAAAATGGCGCCGTTGGATGTCACTAAACATGACTACATATGCCGCATTGATATTTCCGAGAGTTCTTGTCTAGATAAAAAAAGTTATTTTACTTAACTAATAAATCTCATTAACGAAGAAATTGCAAGAAGCTACTTTGGAGTGTATAATATGTATGAAATTTTCTTCGCGTAACGCAGTCCCCCCCCCCCCCCCCCCCCCCCCCCCCCCCTTTTTTTTTGTTTTTTACTCTTGGCGCTCGGTTACCGGGACACGTTTTATATCGAAGTGCCGGAAGTTGCTCGAGTTGTCGCTGTGGAGGTGATGAATCATAGTCAACACGAGCGTTCTTTTTTGACGCAGGAAATGCTGAGAACCCAGCAAGCCATGCGATGCCCTCAGTGCCGCATTGTCATCATCAAGCGTGTCGGGTGTGACTTCATGGTGTGCACCGCGTGCCAGACTCAGTTGTGCTGGGCCACCAAAGGAGCTCGATGGGGTCCAGGGGTGAGCATCTTTGCCTGGCGTCTCCAACGCAATTAGCTCAACCAGGAGAGGCCATCTACTCGCTCTACTGAGAGAACATGACCGTATGTTAGACGCCCCGTTAGGAATGACGCTAGAGATGAGCGGTTATCTTTACTACGAAGAGAGCTTCCTGCGAACCTCTCCTGGTTTCACTGACCATGGCTGCTGCTGCCGAGTGCTGCTGTCGAACGGGATAAGTCTCGCATTAAAAAAATGCACCAGATCGAACGCGATCACATGTCATAACTTCCGCTATGACACTTCCAGTCGACCAAGGGACTTCCGTACACGCCGTTTTAACTTTCGACATGGGCTGAATTTCCTTCAGGTCTGCATTTCATTTCCCTGTTAGCATAGCTGACGAAGGCCTTTGAGACGAGTTTGGTCTGATATGGTCGAAATCCTGTACATCAATGTCCCTTTCACAGAATATGGGTGGAAGGAAACCCAGGAAGACGCCGTATTGTGCGCGTATGAACATTGCGTGAAATACGAAGATACCGAAGCGTTTCGCGTTCACAGGGGCGCATTGAATCTGCTGCGACATTTTTTCTTGCACAGGAGAAGCCGGCTGGTTTTTCCGCTGTTATTCGCAGCTATTGCAAAGTATTTCACAACTTCGCACTCATTGCAACTACCTTAAAAGAAGTGTAAACTATACGTGGAACGCCATTGACATTTAGCAGGGGCATAGCCAAAAAGTAGGATGACCCCCCCCCCCCCCGCCCCGAAAGTTTACGTTTTCACGCACATATATAAAGTAAGAGTTGTATACATGCTTACCACGGGCTTACTGGAGGTTTTCACGGGCCTAGAATTTAAGCAGTTAGGAATAAAAACTAAGGGAGAGTGCCTTAGTAACCTGCATTTCGCCGATGACATTGCACTGCTGAGTAACTTAGGGGATGAATTGCAGTTCATGATTACTGAATTAGACAAGAAGAGCAGAAAGGTAGGTCTTAACATTAATCTGCAGAAAGCAAAAGTAATGTACAATAACCTCGGAAGATAACAGCGCTTCAAGATAGGTAGCAGTTCACTCGAAGTTGCAAAAGAGTACGTATACCTATAGGACAGGTAGTAACCGTGGAGCCGAACCACGAGATAGAAGTAACTAGAAGAATAAGAATGGGTTGGAGCACATTCAGCAAGCATTCCTAAATTATGAATGGCAATCTGCCATTAACCCTCAAGAGGAAGATATATAACTGCTGCATCTTGCCGGTGCTTACCTACGGAAACCTGGAGCAGAAACCTGGAGGATTACAAAGAAGGTTCAACTTAAGTTGAGGATGACGCAGAGAGCAATAGAAAAGAAAATTACGGATGTAACCTTAAGAGACAAGAGGAGAACAGAGTGGGTCAGGGAAAAAACCGGTGTTAAGGATATCATAGTTGAAATCAAGAAGAGTGTAGCGCGTAGGCGGGATAACCACTGGTCATTAAGGGTGACTGAATGGATTCCAAGAGAAGGCAAATGGGTGGTGTGGAGACAGAAAGTTAGGTGGGGAGATGAGATTAGGAAGTTTGCGGGTATCAATTGGCAGCAGCAAGCACAGGACCGAGTTAACTGGTGGAACATGGGAGGGGCCTTTGTCCTGTAGTGGGCAGGCTGATGATGATGATGATGATGATGATGATGATGATGATGATGATGATGATGATGATGATGATGATGATTATTATGATATAAAGTATGATTGAACCTCCCCGAAAAAAATTTCTGGCTACGCCCCTGATCTTCGGAAGTATTCCTAGTTGCACAATTGAGGAAAGACTAGCCGGGCTTTGACTTGCTAGGATTGTTGCTAGCACGTGTAGATGGTTACCACAGTGACCGTCTACACTCGGGCATTAGCCTACAATGCTGAGTTATGCAGTAACGCTTTCACTTGGGCCAGTTGGTTCAAATTTGTAACTTGATTCATGGCTGTGATAAAAAAAATATGGACAATAGAGGGGGCATACACACGACGAGCGTACGTCTCTTGTTTTGTCCATTTTTTTTAGCGCAGCCACGAATCAAGTTACAACGCATTACGGAGCACACTGTGACGCATACGTACAACATTGATCAAGGAGGTGTGGTACCTTGCGTGTAAAACAGTTCAACGGTGGGGGTCAGCGTGGTTCACGTTCGTGAATTTTGGGACGTTAATCCCCAGATTATTATTATTATTATTATTATTATTATTATTATTATTATTATTATTATTATTATTATTATTAGATGTTCACGAACTCAGCACAAACATTTCGTTAATTTCAGATGTTTAAGTTAGTGACGTATCGTCTGCCCCTTCACAACAGTCGCATGCGTCAGAGTAATCAGCCTAATCCACCGAAATGTCGATCTCTTCGTGAGCTCCTTCGATCGTGTAGATGTAGCTTGTAATGTCTGCGGACGATGATTGCTACATGGGGCACTATGTAGCCAACCATTTCAGCTTGCTCACTCCTTCTTCACAGGGCGTCGGCGACACAAGCGGTGGTTGCAGATGCAACGTCAACGGCGTCAAATGCCACCCGACGTGCACAACTTGCCACTAGCGTCAGAAGGAAACGCGTAAGTATCAATTACTTCTCGATATCACTTGTGCTCGTTAAGCGTATAGTGAACCGATTTTCAGTGTTCTGTTGATTTGGCTCGCGTAAATGTCCATATATAATTCGACAATGTGTGGCCCCGCCGCGGTGGTCTAGTGACTAAGGTACTCGGCTGCTGACCCGCAGGTCGCGGGTTCGATTCCCGGCTGCGGCGGCTGCATTTCCGATGGAGGCGGAAATGTTGTAGGCCCGTGTACTCAGATTTGGGTGCACGTTAAAGAACCCCAGGTGGTCAAAATTCCCGGAGCCCTTCACTACGGCGTCTCTCATAATCAAATGGTGGTTTTGGGACGTTAAACCCCACAAATCAATCAATCAATTCGACAATGTGTGAGTGGAGGCTGTCCTTCCGAATGCCTGATTTCTTCACTGCGATCTCTTAGTTCTTTCTTTATGCGATACTATATGACATTATCTGAAACATTTATAGGACTCTATAGCAGCGCTTTGTATGGTACAAATGTACATGTGCATGCTCAACATGTGCTTACTAAAATACTGAGGTACTCGGCTGCTCATCCGCAAGTGACGGGATCGAATCCCGGCTGCGGCGGCTGCATTTCCGATGGAGGCGGAAATGGTGCAGGCCTGTGTGCTCAGATTTGGGTGCACGTTAAAGAACACCAGGTAGTCCAAATTTCCGGAACCCGCCGCTACGGCGTCTCTCATAATTATATGATGGTTTTGGGACATTACACCCCACATATCAATCAATCATCAATCAAATCAATCACTAAACTACTGATTCCCAAGTATTGACACAATTAGAGAATATGCAAGCTTATTGCAATTAGACACCAGCAAAAGTATTTTAGCGAGAATGTGAAGTCGAAATGACTATAAAATTGAAATATTATATTTTGCGACAAAAGAAATGTTTTTGTCACTTCTGTGCCAGAACTTTGTTTCATAAATTTTGCAGGTATCATCATGGGCTTTATTATGATTTTTCCGTGATGCGTTCAGAAAAAAAAAAACAATTTGTCTCCGCCTATGAATTGATCACGGCTTTGTGATGTTTGAGCTAGCCATGATCGTTTTTGGCTATTGAACTCGACGTCACATCAGCAATGGCTTTTTTGGGTTGCTTTCCTCGTCATCCACTGTCATATAGAGCTCTCTCATCCTGGAGCACTTACAGAAAGGTCTTGATATCGAGCTCACCAAAAATAAAGAACAGTAGCAAGCAAGCAAGAAGAAATACACACATGTCGAACACTTACGTTAACGTTGTCATTTTATTTAACATAATTACTGTTATTAAAGGAAAAATTGGGGATTTGCGTAATGTTTCAAGGACTAATTTCGGCCAAACCCCGTCATGTTTTGCAACTGCTGTAGGAAAGGGCAGCAAGTAAAATCAATCAAATGAGCAGCTGCGTATGACAAAAAGAGGAACATGAAAGTGAGAAAAGCGACACACAAAGGCGTTCTTGAATTACGAAGAAAAGCGTCTCGTCTCAGACGAAGATGATGGTAAGAGATGAGGTGGATCAATAGTACCACAGTATAGACCACTTATAACGTAAGTCACTGAAGTCTCGAATATCCGCGCTATAAGTGGTACCACACTATAACCAAAACAACCTTTTTCAAGGACCGCACTTGCGCAAAACGTGATTAGCATCTTCGAGTGTCCGAGAATCGAAGCATGCATGCGATGCGTGGTGCTTACAAGCATATAAATTTAAAATTTAAAAAATTGACGTCCAAATATACGCGTTGCCAACGAAATGAACGCGAAAGGGCAGGGGGAGGGGGCCTAATGAAAGAAAGCACCACCGTGAAAATTTCCCGACTACTTCTGAGACTGCTTCGATTATGCGCGTCGCACAGAAACTATGTCGAATCAAGACCGGAATTTCATGCGCTGACAGACGCCTATCATTCGATTTCACGGGCACGTACTCGATTTCAAGACATCGCAATTGAATCGCGAACCGCCATTTGAGCGCTACAGGTGCCACCCTCGTTTTCATTAACATGTATTCCTTCCCGTTCAGTGCAACCACTGCAAAGAGTTTCGTTGGTTCCGTACCAAACCGCAACTTATACATAGCACGCGACCGCTTCTGAAACGCATCCAACGCCGATTAGGCCTATATAGCCTGCCATTTGGTATGTTGTCGCGGGATGTTTGTCCAAGACGCAAGGACGCTACGCTCTCTCGCCCGCTCTTATCGCGCGGTGACAAGGAGGGGAGGATTGAACGCCTTGGCTGGCATGGAGCTTTACGTGAAACGATTCTGCTGTAGTTACCGGGCGTACAAAGGTCACTGTAATCATTGCGGTCTTCGTTCGCAATGATTGGTTGGTCGGTCGGTCGGTCGGTAGGACGGACGGACGTGGCTGTGCCCTTTAAATCGGGCGGCAGCTAACGCCACCTAGCCGTAAGACTTAGTGAACCAACAAATATAATTATCTTTCATTTTCCCCTTAAATAGTGAGGTTGAGGACGCGTACTTTGCAGTGAAGGGTTTAATTTTCACTCGTACCTTGATTTTAGCCACCAATCATATAACCTCCTTCTAGTTATTTCTACCCACTTAACGTCTATTTTGCCCTCCCTGTCCCTAAACCCCAGTGCTTTGCAAAACTCAGCGCCATCATCCTGAACTATAGGGCGAAGCCCTTTACAGAACATTATCAAGCGTTCGGCAGTTTCCTCCTCCTCTCCACACGCACTGCATACCGTGTATACCCCTTCGTATTTGGCCCGATAGGTCTTAGTTCGCAATACTCCCGTCCTCGCCTCAAACAGTAGACAACTACCTCGAGTATGATCATAGATCCTTTCCTTGACAATTTCCTGCTTAAAAGTTCGATAGATCTTTAGCGCGGACTCCTTAATCATGCCAACTCTCCACATATCGGTCTCAGCTTCCTTCACCTTCTTCTTAACCGATAACTCTTTTTGGTTTGGCCCCTAGCCGTTTTTCAAGTATTTGCCCGTCAATTTCCTTGTTCGCTTCCTCCATTTTGTATCGACATTCTTTATGTACAAGTAGCTGAAAACCTTCCTAGCCCAACGCTCCTCTCCCATTTCTCTCAATCACTTCTCAAATTTTATCTTGCTGCTAGCTTCCCTGCCCTCAAATGATGTCCATCCCATATCAGCTTGTACTCCCTGCTTTGGTGTATTCCCGTGAGCTCTTAAGGCAAGCCTGCCTATTCCACGTTGCTTCATTTCTAATCTTGCTTGAACTTCTGATTTCATGCACAAGACCGCATTGCCAAACGTCAGACACGTCTGACGTTCGGCAATGAACGTTCGACAATGAAAAGTCGAATAATGCGTTCGATGTTATTCGAAGGTCGCAGGTTCGGTTCCTGCCTGTGGCGAGTTATCTTTTCACCCACTTTTCTTTCTTCACATTTACCTTACAATTTGGTCTAATAACCTCCCCTATACTTTCTTTGGCATTATTGTCTGTTAGATTTCATTATATATATATATATATATATATATATATATATATATATATATATATATATATATATATATATATATATATATATATATATATATATATATATATATATATATACATGCCCAACAGCAACCCTGTACACAGTTGGGAGGCCCCTACTGCACGCGTAATCCAGAGGCGGGCAAGGAATTCGCATTGCGCCCGCTTACCAGCCTCTGCCGCAATACGCGGCACCCCTCTTTCTACGACGAAATGTCGACGGGCGCTGAGTAGTTAAAGGCTTAAACTTTTTAAAAAAGCTCTTTTTGCCCCACACCGGACCACCAGAGCCAGGAGGCACCGTCTGGTCGGGAAGAATGCGTTAGTGAAAGGAAGCTTACACAGACCGCAGAGAGCAGAATGGTGAAAGGCAGAAAGGGGAGAGAGATGGAGGGGGAAGTGGAAGGAAGAGTGGAAGGGGGCGCCCCGGGGGAGTCCACCTTATACTCTTTCTATTTTTTCCTTCTTTTTTTCTTTTACTTTTTTTTCTCTTTCCCCCTCTGATTTGAGATTGTATAAAGCTGAACACCAACAAACTGTACCATCAATCCTGATGAAGGCCAGACTCCCGGCCGAAACGTCGAAATAAACCACGTTGTCATTAATGCAGATGTCATTAATGCAGTGCGCTCATGGAATAAACCTTTTTAAAAATAAGCCGCGCGATGGAAAAAAAAAACAACGTGCCAAATTTCATCCTGTTACATTCGCAAATGATTTCCGTGTGAAAATGAACGTCGATTATTCTGTGCTGTGATCTTTTTTTTTTTTCATTACAGGGAGTGGTGCTGTGCAACCGAAGTTATGATCCCTCCAAGTATCCTGCTTGAAGAGTACAATCTCAAGAATACTCACCAGTTGAAGCAGTCCTAAAGGGGTACCTTTTTGTGCGCGTGTGTTTAAAGATGAATGCTCTTAAGAAAAATGTTCTGAATACTTTGTTGGCTGCTAATTTCAAAGAGCAACTGTGCGTAAAGAAAGATGGCTAAAAAATTCAGTTCATGAGAAAAGGCTTTTTTTTTTCATCTTTAATAAACTGCTTGCGTTCATATAGAGCATGTTTTCGTTTCTCTTTATTTATCAGTCAGGCAAGGCTTGAATTTGTTCCAGTCACGCAATCACATAAAATGTAGCCAAATTTACAATGGTTCATGCTCTCCCTGATTACAGTTAAGCCACGTGATACAGTTGAAATTCTGTTTAACAAAGTATGCTTGCGCCCAAATTATTTTGTTAGATCAAGAAATTCTTAATATCACGAAAAAGATTTTTCGATCCTGCGAAATTGTAACATAGCGACCCCGAAAGCTACCACGACACTGAATTTGCTGATGATCTGAGAGAGCCTCCTCGCGATGCACATGGTCACGTGAAGCTATAAAGGTAATTTCTTGGCATAGAAAAGATATTTATTTTAGCTTCAGCAGTTATACCAACTTGCCATCAAAACAGTTTGACTTCACCGGAAGCATGCTACAAACATGAGCTGCTTAAGCCAAATCATTTATTCCGCAGAATTTAGGCACGCGCCTCGAGAAGGCGAGCTACTTGTATTGCGGCGCGATAGCAATGTCTCCCTGAGAGTAGGACTTCACGTCCGGAGCTGCAACTCTGAATTTTTCGGCCACCTTTTCTGTCGACCTGTGGTCGCCGCGGCTAGTCAGGACCTCTCGCAAGCTTTCAGAGTTCTCTTCGGGTGGCGCCAGCACGCAGTGGTAGTCGACCACACTCCTCGGCAGGTTTGCGAGCAGGATCCACTTGTTCGCCTTCGTGTCGTATGCCAGGATGTTGTCGAAGTGGAAGTCTGGTCTCTCCGCTTGCCGACCTCCGATGATTAGGATCATGCCGTCTGGAGAAGCAAGGGACGGTGTTGGCCAACCACACGCACTAGCATCGTCAGCTTGACCACGCCCACTGCGGGGCATAGACCTGTCCAATGTTTCGCTGCTCGATACAGGCCCTCCATTGCGTCTACTGCCACCTATAGCCGGCACATTTCCGATGGAGGCGGAAATGTCGTAGGCCCGTGTGCTCAGGTTTTGGTGCACGTCAAAGAACCCCAGGTGGTCAAAATTTCCGGAGTCCTCCACTACGGCGTCTCTCATAATCATATGGTGGTTTTGGGACGTTAAACCCCACAAATCAATCAATCAATCAATCAATCAACCTAGCCGGCAGAAAACGCATGGAGGGGCTTTAGCCTGTGCTTGCAGATGTCACATTATCCCCACAAACTCTTTAATCTCATGCGCCTATAGTTTTCTAGGCTTGCCTTTTCTTGGAATACAGTCTGTCACTCCTAATGACCAGCGGTTACCTCGCCTTCATGCTACATGGCTTGCCCATGCCCATTTCGACTAAGATGTCGTTTTCTCACTGACACGCATGCTCTGTTCTTGTCCGTCAAGGTTACATCTAATTTTTTTTTTTCCACGGCTCGTTGAGTCGCCCTCAATTTAAGTTTGATCCCTCCTTTTAGGCCCCCAGGTTTATTTATTTATTCATTCATTTATTCACCATATACGCGCAGCGCCTTCCTATGGGCATTATAGTTACTGTCCCGTAGGTAAGTATACAGGTAAGATGTAGCTGTTATACGGGGTTCCTCAGCTATCTTTAGCCAGAGTTTAAATTTATGTGGACGCACTCTATGACGACGCGAACTGAGATGTTTTGTATTGCATGGAGTAAGCCCCACTAGTTTGCTTCCCGCTTGTCTAATTAATCATGGTTAATTAACAATTGAAGCAATGAAGTTAGCCAGAAATCCTATAAAAACTGTAGATCGGTTTGGAAACCATATGATTAGACAGTTAATAACTTTACATCCGTTCATCTTTAGTGTTGTTCTACGTACTACAGATGCCCGAGAAATGTAAAACAATACCACGTGATATGCCCGCCTGCACGCCTAGGCACGCCGTGATTGCAGCGCTCCCTAACGTTCCACGTGCAAAAATGCTTCCGCGGTGACGTTTCATGACAGCGTTAAGCAGACTGAGTGGCTCGAAGCTTTGTTGCCCTTTGCCAAAATGTGCATCGTCACACAGTCCTCCACGCTGCCCTGTCGAGGCAGCACACCAGGCCAAAAGAAATGCTATGGTGATAAGCACGCGGAATCACGACGCACATAGGCGCGTCAAGTGGGCTTGCCATGTTTTTTGCCCCGCCGCGGAGGTCTAGTGGCTAAGGTACTCGGCTGCTGAACCGCAGGTCGCGGGTTCGAATCCCGGCTGCGGCGGCTGCATTTCCGATGGAGGCGGAAATGTTCTAGGCCCGTGTACTCAGATTTGAGTGCACGTTAATGAACCCCAGGTGGTCTAAATTTCCGGAGCCCTCCACTACGGCGTCTGTCATAATCATATAGTGGTTTTGGGACGTTAAACCCCACATATCAATCAATCAGTCGGGCTTGCCATGTTTATTTGTTATTGTATTTCGTGCGCATTTCCAAATTTATACTAAAGAGAAAAAATACATAACTGATATAAAGTTAGAAACTCTCAAACCGGACGTTTTGCATGCCGATCTACGGATTTCTAAGTGGAATTTTTCGCCCTACGTCAGTGCCTGAAAAGTTAGATAATTATGCCTAATTATGCAATGAATCTGAATGCGAAAAAGGGTGCGATTTACTCAATACAATAGTCGCCAACACGCATATTTTTGAAGTCTGGCTAGGTAGTTGGGGCACCCTGGTATACCTTTCTCTTGCAGAGATTGAGTGCCATTCATTTATATTACTGTATATACTGTCATATGGATACTGTTGTATATTATGAATGCTATAAAATGCAGGAAGCATTGCTGAGGAGCGCGAGAAGAACATGCGTGCTATTCTATCACCAGTGAAAGAAGTGCGAGTGTTAAAAGAAAGTAGCGATGGGGAGACTCTTAGCAATATATATATATATATATATATATATATATATATATATATATATATATATATATATATATATATATATATATATATATATCCAGATTTCAAAGTCAGAATTTCATTAAAGGTACAAGTGCAAAATAATGATGGGAATTGTCTTCCTCAAAATCTTTTCGCTCACGCAGCACGCATAATCATTTTTTTCAACAAGATTTTTGTGGTGGAGTCTTTATTTCATGACACGATTAAAAGCAGCTGCGCCGTTTTACACACAATGTTTCCACTATGCCTTGCTTGTACTTGAACTGGTGTAGCGCCTTGCGGCAAAGAACACGTATAACTTGTTTGGTTTCCTTTATTGAAAACCACGCTCGCTACATGTATTTCCTGTATCAGTGATGCTATGTCACACTGATAACGCGCGTGCCGTTAACACGCAAGTTATATAGCTTTGGTCCCTACCAGTGGCAGGTTGTTTTTTGGTCCACTTCAGTTTATTCACATATAATCAAAATCTCACAAATACCCTTCCTTATACCTTCCTTGACTTCAATGTGTGCGGGTTTTTAGTAAGCTAGTGTGCAACAAAAAAAAAAAACGAGCCTTGATAACGCATGAGAACCGGGATAAAAAAAATTAGTTCAAGCCCCAACCTTAAACCACTGCTGCAATGGTATGCACACTGAGTGCTGCACCAATACAATGCCTTTACAAAAGCAGCAGTGCTGGGGTTCGGATGCGCATGTAAGTGCCCTCACCATGAGCGACGGCCACGGTGCTGTGTCGGGTGTCAGGCATGGGCGCCCGGTTCACCCACGTGTTGCGCTGATCCACGAACACGAGCGTGTCCTCGACCGTGGTGAAGATGCGTCTTCTGCCGGAACGGTGGCTGAGGAGGCCGCCCACGGCGTACAGTTCATCGTCGCACTCCACCAGCGTCAAGCAACTCCGCGGCGAAGGGAGGAAGTTCACCGCGAAGAACCACCTGCCGTGAAGATGAATAAGCTTCGCACGACATGCACCAAGGGAACGCGGTGCGGTGACATGTGGAAAGAACAGTGGCACCGGAGTAAATTAAACACGGTATCATGCTAGCGTTGGATACCATTTATTCCTGGACGATGGCTCATTTGAAAGGCGAGTGAGGTTTTCCTCGTGTCTTGTACCGAGGTCGCTCACAAATTTTCCTAAGATGCAACCATAAAGGTGCATAGGGTCTAGCCTTATGGGGGGGGGGGGGGGGGGGTCATTCTAGCCTGCTGAAGATCCACCTGCTCCATCCCCCTTCTCCATCCGTTGTGCTTCTTTTGGCGCTTGTCACAGGAAAACGCCGAAAATGAGTTGAATAAATCACCGACAGATTTCCAGTGAAACGCAGACTTCACTGAAAATAAGTACTGCCTATGCAAGCGAGAAAAACGAGCGCATTTAGCTGCAGTAGAAAGCAGATATTCAATTCTCAGGAACGGCCCTGAAACAACGGAGTGCGCGAGTGCGCGTACCATGAACGCAAAATTTACTTTTTGCGAGATTATCGCTACTGCAGCAAAGCCGAACCTGATCCGGATTCATGATTATGCCGCGGTTCCCAAGATAGGGCATGCACTCTCCCAACCTGCAGGCCATGCAAGCTTAATTCTAGTTCTAAAATTTTTCAAAGAGAGAAATTTTTTTACACTATTAAAGAACCCGGTTTGTCAAGTGCCACCGTCTATTTCCTTGCATTGTTTAGAGCTTGAAATAAAGCGTTTAGCTGCTGGGAAGTAACAACAATCTTTGAGAGCCAGTTATCCGAAATTTAAAGACTGCACAGAGGGCAGCCTTACCTCTCTTCTTTAGGATCGTAGACTTCTACGTAGGCAGTGGAACACGTCCTCCGGCCAATTTGTACAATGCCACCGGCCACCCACAGCTTTCGCCTGTGGCCACAGAAACCCATGGCCATTCTCGGAGAATAAAGCTCGGCGCTGAGCTTCGTCCACTCATCAGCCTCTTTGTCGTAGCGTTCAAGGCAGCTCAAAAGCCTGAAAGCACATATCAGCGCGCAATAATATTGTACGTGGTTGAGTTGTATTTAAAAAAAAAAAACAGGCCTCATATACCATGCAAGCAGCTTTTAAATTTTTGTAGCTTCTTTTACATGCTGAACAGAGCGATAAAACAAAAGCACAAA